TGAAGCTGGGCGGTATGTTTGCAGTGCGCTGCTGGGTGAGACAGCTGTACAGAGCTGAAGCTGGGTGGTATGATGGGTAATATGGAGATGGGTGATTTGGAGAGGGGTGATTTGAAAAGGGGTAATTTGGAGACGGGTGATTTGGAGATGGGTGATATGGAGAGGGCTGATTTGGAGACGGCTGATTTGGAGACGGGTGATTTGGAGATGGGTGATATGAAGATGGGTGATTTGTAGAGGGGTGATTAGGAGACAGGTGATTTGGAGAGGGGTGATTTGGAGAGGGGTGATTTGGAGACGGGTGATGTGGAGACGGGTGATTTGGAGACAGGTGATTTGGAGACGAGTGATTTGGAGACAGGTGATTTGGAGAGGGGTGATTTGGAGAGAATTTATTTGGAGAGGGGTGATTTGGAGAGGGCTAATTTGGAGATGGGTGATTTGGAGACGGCTGATTTCGAGATGGGTGATTTGGAGACGAGTGATTTGGAGACGGGTGATTTGGAGAGGGGTGATTTGGAGACGGGTGATTTGGAGAGGGGTGATTTGGAGATGAGTGATTTGGAGACGGGTAATTTGGAGATGGGTGATTTGGAGAGAATTTCTTTGGACAGGGGTGATTGGGAGAGCGGTGATATGGAGATGGGTGATGTGCAGATGGCTGATTTGGAGACGGGTGATTTGGAGACGGGTGATTTGGAGAGAATTTATTTGGAGAGGGGTGATTTGGAGATGGGTAATATGGAGATGAGTGATTTGGAGAGGGGTGATTTGGAAAGGGGTAATTTGGAGATGGGTGATTTGGAGAGGGGTGATTTGGAGACGGGTGATGTGGAGACGGGTGATTTGGACAGGGGTGATTTGGAGAGAATTTTTTTGGAGAGGGGTGATTTGGAGACAAATGATATGGAGATGGATTATTTGGAGAGGGGTGATTTGGAGATGGTTGATTTGGAGACGGGTGATTTGGAGAGAGGTGATTTGGAGAGGGGTGATTTGGAGACGGCTAATTTGGAGGTGGGTGATGTGGAGACGGGTGATGTGGAGACGGGTGATTTGGAGAGGGGTGATTTGGAGACGAGTGATTTGGAGACGGGTGATTTGGAGATGGATGATTTGGAGAGAATTTATTTGGAGAGGGGTGATTTGGAGAGCGGTGATATGGAGATGGGTGATGTGCAGACGGGTGATTTGGAGAGGTGTCATTTGGAGATGGGTGATTTGGAGAGAAATGATTTGGAGACGGCTGATTTGGTGAGGGGTGATTTGGAGACAGGTGATTTGGAGACGGGTGATTTGGAGAGGGGTGATGTGGAGAGGGGTGATTTGGAGACAGGTGATTTGGAGAGGGGTGATTTGGAGACGGGTGATTTGGAGAGGGGTGATTTGGAGACGGATGATTTGCAGAGGCGTGATGCGGAGATGGGTGATTTGGAGAGGGGTGATTTGGAGACGGATGATTTGGAGACGGGTGATTTGGAGAGGGGTGATATGGAGAGGGGTGATTTTGAGATGGGTGATTTGGAGAGGGGTGATTTGGAGAGGGGTGATTTTGAGAGGGGTGATTTGGAGACGGGTGAGACGGAGGTCTGCGCTGCTGGGTGAGACAGCTGTACAGAGCTGAAGCTGGGCGGTCACTATGGTTACAGTGCGCTGCTGGGTGAGACAGCTGTACAGATGTGAAGCTGGGCGGTATGTTTGCAGTGCGCTGCTGGGTGAGACAGCTGTACAGAGCTGAAGCTGGGTGGTATGATGGGTAATATGGAGATGGGTGATTTGGAGAGGGGTGATTTGAAAAGGGGTAATTTGGAGATGGGTGATTTGGAGATGGGTGATATGGAGAGGGCTGATTTGGAGACGGCTGATTTGGAGACGGGTGATTTGGAGATGGGTGATATGAAGATGGGTGATTTGTAGAGGGGTGATTAGGAGACAGGTGATTTGGAGAGGGGTGATTTGGAGAGGGGTGATTTGGAGACGGGTGATGTGGAGACGGGTGATTTGGAGAGGGGTGATTTGGAGATGGGTAATTTGGAGATGGGTGATTTGGAGACGGGTGAGACGGAGGTCTACGCTGCTGGGTGAGACAGCTGTACAGATGTGAAGCTGGGCAGTCACTATGGTTACAGCGCGCTGCTGGGTGAGACAGCTGTACAGATGTGAAGCTGGGCGGTATGTTTGCAGTGTGCTGCTGGGTGAGACAGCTGTACAGAGCTGAAGCTGGGCGGTCACTATGGTTACAGTGCGCTGCTGGGTGAGACAGCTGTACAGATGTGAAGCTGGGCAGTATGTTTGCAGTGCGCTGCTGGGTGAGACAGCTGTACAGATGTGAAGCTGGGCAGTATGTTTGCAGTGCGCTGCTGGGTGAGACAGCTGTACAGAGCTGAAGCTGGGCAGTATGTTTGCAGTGCGCTGCTGGGTGAGACAGCTGTACAGATGTAAAGCTGGGCGGTATGTTTACAGTGCGCTGCTGGGTGAGACAGCTGTACAGAGCTGAAGCTGGGCGGTATGGTTACAGTGCGCTGCTGGGTGAGACAGCTGTACAGATGTGAAGCTGGGCGGTATGGTTACAGTGCGCTGCTGGGTGAGGCAGCTGTACAGATGTGAAGCTTGGCGGTCACTATGGTTACAGCGCGCTGCTGGGTGAGACAGCTGTACAGATGTGAAGCTGGGCGGTATGTTTACAGTGCGCTGCTGGGTGAGACAGCTGTACAGAGCTGAAGCTGGGCGGTCACTAGGGTTACAGTGCACTGCTGGGTGAGACAGCTGTACAGAGCTGAAGCTGGGCGGTATGTTTACAGTGCGCTGCTGGGTGAGACATCTGTACAGATGTGAAGCTGGGCAGTATGTTTACAGTGCGCTGCTGGGTGAGACAGCTGTACAGATGTGAAGCTGGGCGGTATGTTTACAGTGCACTGCTGGGTGAGGCAGCTGTACAGAGCTGAAGCTGGGCAGTATGGTTACAGTGCGCTGCTTGGTGAGGCAGCTGTACAGATGTGATGCTGGGCGGTATGGTTACAGTGCGCTGCTGGGTAAGGCAGCTGTACAGAGGTGAAGCTGGGCGGTATGGTTACAGTGCGCTGCTGGGTGAGACAGCTGTACAGAGCTGAAGCTGGGCGGTCACTATGGTTACAGTGCACTGCTGGGTGAGACAGCTGTACAGAGCTGAAGCTGGGCGGTATGTTTACAGTGCGCTGCTGGGTGAGACATCTGTACAGATGTGAAGCTGGGCAGTATGTTTACAGTGCGCTGCTGGGTAAGGCAGCTGTACAGAGGTGAAGCTGGGCGGTATGGTTACAGTGCGCTGCTGGGTGAGACAGCTGTACAGAGCAGTTGTAACTCCAGTCGTAACTCCAGTCGTAGCTCCAGTCGTAACTCCAGTCGTAACTCCAGTCGTAACTCCAGTCGTAGCTCCAGTCGTGACTCCAGTCGTGACTCCAGTCGTAACTCCGGTCGTAACTCCAGTCGGTCTGGTCAGGTAACTTTAGTCAGCCACGCAGCTGAAAATCCTCGTTTGTGGAGCTGAACGCGTCACCCGGCAGGCGGCGCTGTCTCAGTAAGGAGTGTAAGAGAGTCTTATCAGGTTTAACACTCGCTAAACAAACTCGATTAAACTGACCGCGTTAGCGACCTGACTGAGTCGCTCACTGTAAACGGCTGTAACGGTCGCGCCTGGCTTTAAACGGAGGAACGCGCTCTGATTGGTCTGAAACTCCCGCCAGTCTTTTGTTTGTCCTCCCATAGATCTGTTTTTCCGGTGCGTGTCTCTCTGTACTGAATGAACTGTGCTGTTTTGTTTGTGTTTGTTTGTTTGTTTGTTTGTTTGTTTTAATCTAGACACAGAGTATAAAACTGCAAACCATTGAAATACATAAAACAGCTGTACAGCATTATTATACAGAATCACTGGAGGCCATGTCTTAATATATTAAAGTCAAAGTATGAAGTTGGAATTTACACAAAAATCTGTTTATTATGTAATTTTACGAGGTGAAACAATATAGATCTTTATATATTACCACTCAAATACATTTATTATTGTTTGTGTTTTCCAAATACCTGGAGAATCATTTTGAAAGTTATACATGGTTTATAAAAAGTTTGTTCTCTTTTTCTGTTGGGCCAAATTAAAAGTCCTGATGGTCAAACTTTGGGCAGCCCTGATCTGCTTAAGAAAATAAACAGAAGTGTAGATGATGAAGAGAGTGAACCAAGTGCTTCTCTGCATTAAGTTTTGGTGGTATGTGATCTCTAAAGTACCCAGGTTAGCTGTTAAGTACATTTACTTCCTATTAGTTTAAAGTTGTTTTCTCTTGGTTCCTAGCTTGTTGTCTCTGGTTACAATTGTACATTTGAAAATAGATCAATGTTGTGTTAATCATAGCATGTTTTCTGCAAATGAGCAAAAGGCTGTGACTGACTGTGATTGTAACATTTACCAATGGAGATAAATTAAAAGTTATTCTACCATGAACTTCAATGATGTAAGGAAACGAGTTTAAACATTTTAAGGTAAGGTAAATGGTTTAAGAATTGATTTTTTCTTTTGCTGTTTTGCTGCTGTAAACACATTTCTGCAATAATCAAAAAACAAAACATACAAAAAAGAATCACAAAAGCTCATCACTCATCACTACATGCAGGAAATACAGCTACATCCACATCCATCCAGTCAGAGAGAAGATCCTGATTCACTACTGCTTCAGTTCAGATCAACACAGTGAGCAGATGAGTGAATCATCATGTAGAGAGAGTCACATCTCTCTACTCACAGCTGATGAGCTGTGTCTTCACACTGATGACTGATCAGACTGTGATTAGATGGTCTGATGAAGGTCTAATCTGTGTTCTAATGCTCTAATATTTTCAGTACAGTCCTGATGAAGAGCTTCCAGTGCTCCTAATTTTAACCCTATAAAGTCTGGTCAGTAGGGGGAGCTCTGCACCCACTGATCCACCTCAGTGTCTAAATCAGTGAAGAACCCAAATGAATACAGAAGTATAAAAAGCATTTAAGACTTTATTTAAAATTCGCGTGTTCTGCACAGTGTAACTAACACAATTTGCTGTACAAAGAACAATTTTTTATGATGATCTGATATAAATATATTTAAGATCACAACAATTTTGAGCAGAATGCTTAAGTACTAAATACTGAATAGACTACTAGAGTACACACACACACATACACATGCATTCTGGGTCACGGGGAATACTAAAGTAGTGATGGGTGAATACTGAACACACTGTACTAAATGTATTCTATTACAGTCCATAAACAATAAACACATTCTGAATACATTTAGAAATCAAACAGATAAGACACAGGAAAAGACCTGATTTAGCCTCACTCTGTTACTGGATGGCAGCTTTCTTCATGTAAATCTTGTTTAAATGAGCTTAAAATAGTTTTGTCCTAATTTGATGAATTTAGAATTTGCTTCACTCTAAAGCGAATGATTCAGTGTTATTTGATTCACAGACTCCAAAAACGTGTAGAAAGTCTTCTTAGAAGAGTGGAGGCTGTTAAAGCTGCAAAGGGGAGCAATTCCATATTAACGTCTAGGGGTTTTTGGAATGAGATGTCTAAGAGAGTCATATTAAGAAGTGACTTGAAAACAGAAAAAGAAGAACAGTAAGAACAGAACAGACAGTGTGACCCAGTGTTTCAGACGTAAAGGTGTGTTATGAATATGTGCTGGAGCTGTTAGTGTAAAGGAAGTTTATGATACAGTAGCTGCAGTGGTCAAATGGAACTGATGTGACTGAGCTGTTTAAATCTCCCATGTTCTACTGCAAATTTACAGCGTTTTGGGTTTTTTCCCTCATAAATGAACAGTGCAGAACAGCCTCTGTTTCTGTGTTAAGATGTTCTCTCAGCCACTGAAATGTAAAGGTTTAATCTGAAAGTGAGGGTGAAGCAGAAAGTAGTTCTACCACTGAAGTCTATCTCTAGATAAATGTGAAATTAGTGGGTTTGAATAATGTCTGTCTGTTTTTATTTTTATTTTCAATACGAAAACACGCTGAGAAACTGAGCTACAGCAGCTTTGCTAACTTGTACCACACTGCACTGAAATCAAAACCAGGCAGTGATTTGCACAGTGGGACAATACGGTCTCTCTACAGCCTGTTTCACAAAGACAGTTTTAAAAACATTTATAGCTCATGAATTGATTCAGTCAGACAGAGTAAATTCCTAATATACAGACTTGTGTGTGTAACAAGACAGTAACAAGACAGAATGTTTAAAATGACCAACAACTTTGTGTCTGACTGCCAGTCAGTAATACTCACTTCACACGGTATCAGGTGGTATCAGACGGTGAGGTCAGTATATTTTATGATCATGAGTCGAGTGAATAAGTGCAGTATCAGGTCAATACCTGATACTAGTATCAGTATCGATGCATCTCTATTTCTTATAGAGCAATTTTATGACTGTATCTGGCTCTTAGTTTAAATAACCTTAAACGTTTATGTAAAACTGGAGTATCAGTAACGAATATTAATCACTGCAGGGATTCAGTTCCATGAAAATCAATGACCTCAAAAGAAAATGAATTCCATAAATTGTCACTTTGTAAAAATGCCGAGAGAGTTTAAACTAAAGGATGTCCAGTCTGAAACTGCATATATTACAGTGCAGTGGTCAGTTTCAGAAAGCAAGTTTAGGAATAGACAAATAAATGCAACACATTTAATCCAACGAATATCAAAATGTGATGTAGTTTTGAGATCCTACAGAATAAAAGTCTGAAGCTGCTTCTATGACACTTTCCCAATGACCATCGTACTGAAAGCAGAATCAAGCAAAATCTGAAAAACAGCAAAATACAGGCAAAAAGTGAAATAGCTTCCACATTAAAAGTTAATTAATAAAGATGATTGTGTAGTATAAGCAGTGTTTGACTGATCTCTTCACTCAGTCGATTCAGAATCATTCATCTCCTTTGCCATCTCTGTCCTAGAAAAACAAACAAAATCATCATAAGTGTACAAAATATTATTATTATTATTTCTTATTTCTCAGTTCTGTGTGAAGTTGGTGGACAATGATTTGATTAAACAAAACAACTAAATACTTTGTTTTTAATATGATGTAAGAATCATAAACGTTCACTTACACACACTGGAGGGTTTCGAATCTGCTGGAGCCTGATAAGCTGAGGATGTAGGAGACAAAATTATATCACAGTTACACAAAATGACATCATCATATGTACAGAGTGGTGTGTATACCCAGAGGAAAGAAATATTCTAAATGAGATCTCCTTTAGATCTCAGGTATTTCTCCTAGACACAGTTAAGTCCAGTTTGAGATCAGAGTGAGTCTTAAGTCATTTTCTCCTGTTTCTGAAATTTGGCTCCTGAGAAATAAAACCCAGATTTTCTCACTTTGATCAAAATGTTGTCTCACATGTGGCTTAACTCCTTAGTGTCTGACTCATCTCACCTGTGTCTCAGCTGAGTAATATTTCCATGAGAAAGTTTAAGATCTCATTATTTTCTTATGCAGCTCTATTCAACATTACAGAACTCTCTCAGCAGTCTGTCAGTGCAGAAGGGGAACTAATGCTTTTCTCCTTCATCACCAGAACTTCTCACAGTGAAATGCTGAGGTTAATCTCCTCTTTTCTCCTGAGGAGAAACAATTCAGAAATCAGTGATCCTTAATCAATATAATATTGAAATCTGCTTTGTTTGTGAATTTTTTTCCCTCAGGATACTTAAGCAGTAAAATTCAATAAAAAGCTCCGACCCAGATCATCACGTTATCGGCTCCTATCTGACTATCATGTCTGGTGGTCAGGGATTGAGGGCCGTGCAGCACCACCATGGCAGCAACTAACTGTGATGTCGGCCCCATCCCCACCATCATATATATACTTTTTATTCATTAGTTTGTTTGTTTTTTAAAGAGCATTGTGCTGCAAAACAATAAAAAATCAAAAACACATCTAAGATGTTTAATTCACCCTTTGATTTAAACTTTCTGTTATCAGCTTAATGTAAAGTTATATTATTTGTCATTTATCTGTTTTTGTTTATGAAGAAAGTTCCTGTGTTGATCTCTGCTGTTTATATAAAGACAACAGCATATTGACAAGCAGTGCTTCTTCCAAACAAGTTGTGTTCCTTTAGGGTATGATAATCATGTTATAGCAGTATTACTATTGCAGTGTTACTATTGCTTTAATATTGCTGACAGCAGTGCAGTCATCTTTCTGCACATGCCAACATCCTATAGTGGTACAAACAAAACTGTAGCAACATTAAGGCACACCATTCAATGTACATTCACAGGAATGCTAGCTCAATGTAAAAAAGAAAACTAAACAAAGCCCTGAAAGATGATCAAGGTCATAGAGGATAGTAGAACAGTTGCTAAGCAGTGTTTGGAGAAGAAAATTAAGCAGATGTTTAGAGATGTTCTCAGCATTAGGATCGGTCGTAAGGTTGAAAACAGCTCATTTTTTTGTTGTTCTCCTTGTAAAGAATGACTGTTTAGATTTTTTCATAATTGCTCATTAGGACAGACGTATCTCTTAGCAGACCCTCAGTAACTCATTCAGATTAGTATCTGGTCTACATTCACTGGACTGTGTTAACATCTGTAATCCACAGTAAATCCTCAGTTAGTAATCCAGTGGTGTTGGACGTGTTTATTTCCTTCTCTTACCAGACGGCGGCTTCTTCTTCACCCACACCAAAACTCCAACACCGATGACAATGAGGAGAACAAGCACTGCTGCACCAACGATGATACCAGTAAAGTCTCCTGTAAGCAAATTGGTTAAAGATCATTATTATTATAATTGGGCTCATCAGTGACTTTAAAACTGAATATACACCTTATTTCTCTCACCGCTGTGATTAATCACTGGTAGCACCATCTCCTTCTCTAGGCTGCTGTGCTGAATGATGCAGGTGTAGTCGTGTTTGTTCAGCTCCTCAGGTGAGACAGTCAGAACGCTCCTCTTCTGGAAGGTTCCATCCTGGTTGGGTAGCGTCTCTCTGAGCTCCACATCCTCATGCAGATCCTCTCCATTCTTCTGCCAGGAGATCATCACTGCTTTGGGGAAGAAACCTGTAGCATGACACACCACTGGAGAAGAAGAGTCCTTCTGGAACAGAGACACCTCAGGAGAGACTGGAGAGAGAGAGAGAGAGAGATACACAGTGTGAAAGAGAGAGAGAGAGAGATACACACACACACACACACAGAGAGAGAGAGAGAGAGAGAGAGAGAGAGAGAGAGATGGGGTAAGCATCATTGAAATGGTATATTGCCGATGAAGATTAATGCTCACACATCTCATCTCACCTCATGACTGTCTGAACTACAGAAGCTGCTTTAAAATATTAATAAGTCATTAAATTTATGGCCATATTCAGAGAGTTAGGCACACAGAGAGGGGATGGTTCCTGAAATCCCCGTCAAATAAAATTCAAATCCAAGTTAAACAAACAATCAAATGAATAATTAAAAACAAAAACTAATAATAAATTAGCATTTGTTGGCAATATTAAACTTATAAGTATGTTGTAAGACAAATGAATATTAATAAATACATACATTTGTCCAAATGCCCAAAAAAAACATCATTGGCCTTTCCAAAAATATATATTTTTTAATACGTTCTGCTTGAAAATCATCATAATTCAGTTAAAAACAAGAATCAAATGAAAAAAACAGTCTGTAAAACACAGTAATATTGCAGTTCCACACCCACTCACCTAGGGCCTGACATGTCACATTATGGACTTCCATCAAAGTATTATGAAGTTTTGGCAAAGGAGGAAACGCAGGAATCACTGCGCTTTAGACGAATGCTTTTTATTGAGCACAGCAGCAGTGGAGAAACTGCCACTCAGCGCTATTGAAACAGCCAACATAGCAGGCATAGGCGCTGCACCCCCGCCCCACACTCCGACACAAAACAGCACAATTAACACACACCACACATCTTAAAGACCAACAATCATTTACAAGATCCAAAGTCTCTTGCTTATCAGGAACAGCACCTCCCAGCCAGGGCCTTAACTAGGATGAACATTTTACAGAAATGTGACCTACATCTCGCAGAGAATAAACTAACCACCAAATATGAGTCTTACACCAACTGTACAAGTCTCTCCTTTAGCTTTTTAACAAGATCATTGCTCCTTTTTACCCATCCATAACTGTCATGCACTTTTTCTTGCTTATACTTCCATTTTTCCATAACCCGCTATTACTGTTCTACAAACTGATTTGACTCCTACTCTGTTTAGGTTTATTTGAATAATTATTTAACTATTGATTTATATGTTTATTTTCAGCTGAAAATACATGTTGAAAGCTACACTAAATCAAGTGATAGTTTCAAATTGATTTTATTCCATTTACCTCTCTCTCTCTCTCTCTCTCTCTCTCACTCTGCTTGTCTCTTTTGCATCCCTGTCCTGACTAATACTGAAGAAGTACACATTAAATATACATTATAAACAGTTGTCTCTATCAAACCCCAGCTAACAAGAAGGGTAGCTACTCATACAGTTAATGAGACAAAATAGTGCCGAGTGTACCTGCTGATTTCTTAATAATGTTAGCTACATGATACTGTACCCTCAATATGCTGGCTAATTTCTCATCTAATCACTAATATAGCCGACTGTGGAGCCTGTTGCCCAAACTGAGCAGCTACTGGAGCCAGACTAAAGCACGTTGATTTAGCCAGCAATTTGACGAGTGGTCCAAATGAATAAACAAATTAAACAATTTGCATTTTACAAGCATAATATGTAAATTATGCTCATAAACTCTAACCTTTTTACCATTGCGATGTTATATGTTAACCTATAGCATGAGTGCTGTATACCTGCAGAAGTTACTCTGGGACTCGGGGCAGTGTAGTGTCTCATACAGGGATGAACAGAGCAGGCAGTTCAGTTGTTCTGAGGTCAGCTGAGAACCTCTCACTGCTTACGGTGTAGTTTTGTTGCTTTTTTCCACACTGAATCTCATAAAACCCCTCCGAAACTTTCAAAGACCTCCTAACGCTAATCAAGCAACGGTGGCTAAGCAGTAACTGGAGGGTTGAGAAAAGAGGGTCAGCAGATTTGATTGGCTATAACACAGTGACAGTGCTAATACTGTGAGACCGTGTCTGTGTACTCTACTGTGTAGAGTAGCTTGTATTATCGGAGTGACACTATTTCCGTGTTTAATATCATGAATGGAGGAAAGTGTAAAAACCCCTTCTGACACTACTGAGGTCCGGACCTCGGTGTCCTCGTAGCTAGTTACGACCATGCTCCTAGGAGCCTGTGCGAATGGCCATTCTGTATGTATCCTCCTTCGCTCATGCGGCAGTACTCCTTGCTTTGACGGCAAGCTGCACGTGTTAACCCAGCTCCTCCAGCAGTAGAGCGCCCCACACTGCCTTCTTGAATGCTGACATACCTGGTGGACCATCGCACTTAGCTCTGTCATCTAAAAACTTCACTGGAGAGGTGTGGCCAACACTACCAAGCTGCCACGCTGCTCTACCAGCAGGTCCTTGCTGACACCTCTTTCGCTGTCCTCCTGCTGGGCACTGCTGCTGTTCCTCGTCACACTGCCTCTTTCACTGCCTCCCCAGCCCATCCTCGCACTGCTTCTTCCTCCGTCCTTGGCCTGGTTCAGTCTTTTCCACTGCTTGTCTTCGAGCTCACGGTATCACCAATCTCCTCCAGTCCGCTGAAGGGTGCTTGTCTCACTTCTGACATCAAATGTGAAGTTTTGGAAAAGAATGAGATGGGAAACGTGCTTTAGACAAACACTCTTCATTAAGCACCTCAGCAGTGGAGAAACTGCCACTCAGCAGTATCGAAATGATTGAGATAACAGGCAGGTCACCCCTGGCTGTACAACCAACCTAATGGTAGACACAAACATTGCACCACCACCCCACAGTCCAGCACAATACAGCACAGGTAACAAATCACACATATTAAACCAAGAGCAACAACCATTTACTAGGTTCAAAGTCTGTTGCTTACTGGGAGCTTCGCCTCCCAGGAACCCATGCATGTGTGCACTCTGAACAAGCCAGTAGCGGGTTGCTACAACATTCAAGAAAAGTCACAGAATTGGAGGTGAGAAGAACAAGTACACTTTTGACCAATCTCTGTCTTCATGCTGACATCTGTGTCGTTGAAGTGTCTGCAAAAATCAGTAATTTCATTCATAAACAATTATTTCCCTCCACTCCAGACCTGTTTGAGTTCACATTTCACCACAAGTGTTCAGTGGACGATGCCGTCTCACTCACTCTGCCCACTCTGACACACCTGGACAAGACAGATACCTACTTCAGGATAAGGTTTACTGACTACAGCTCTACATTTAACAGCTGTTCCTTGTAAACTGGTGTTAAAGCTGAGCAGCCTGGCTGTGCAGCTCCATCTGCAATTGGGTACTGGACATCCTGACCAACAGACAGCAGAGAGTGAGAATGATGAAGCATGCGCACTCAGCAGAGGTGCTGCCTCAGCCCCCTGATACACAGCTTGTTCACCCCTGACTATGTAGTCAAACACACCAACAAAATAATGAAGTTTGCAGGTGACACCATTGTGACTGACTCATATGGACTCATTGTGGGCTTAGAGAGGATCAAACTCCCATCATTATCTATGGTTCCCTGTTGTAATTGTCCACAGTTTCACAGCAGTGCCTGTTCTTCCTGAGGAGACTTAAAAGCTTAGGGATAAACACATCTGTTTCATCTGTCCACTTTTACTGCTGCGCCATAGAGAGAGTTCTGACTGGCTGCATCACAATGTGGCATTGCAACCTGACTGCAGAGGATCTCAGACTCCTACAGAGAACTGTCAGAACTGATTCCAAAATCATAGGCACTGACCTCCTACAACATCACGAAACTTATTCATCCCAGTGCTGGACGAGGTCCTTCATCTTGGACACCGCCCTCCCAGCTCATGACTCTTGAATTTAAGATTCAAGGCATCTTAGCTGCTACAACTTGCTAACTCATGTGCATCTAAAATGTCTAAAAGAGATACGTTTGAAGAGATTAGATATTAAATAATCCACCTGCATAAGGAAGGAGAAAGTCAAAGGCAAACAGGTGAAAAAACAGGAGATTCCAAAACTGGAGTTTGAAAAATGATTAAAAGTTACAGAGCAAATCACCTGACATTACAGAGCAACCACCTGACACCAACACTGTCCCCATCAGATAAACAGCACTTAAAGCCTTCATCTTTGAGAGAGAGGAGAAAATCAAGCTGCTTCAGATCTGAAAACATCCACAGGTGTTTCTGTCCATCCTTCCACTGTGAGAAGACGACTCAGCACTGTGGGTCTGAAAGGATGTGTAGCTGTTAAGAAGCCTCACTGAGAGGAAAATCACAAGAACACTGAAACTGGACATCTGAGATGTGGAGTGAGGTTTCATGGACTGATAAGTCTAAATTTGTAAATGGAATTTTCTGAATCCAGAAAGAAGTTAAAAATACAACCAACTTCTAAGACTGAACTTTGGAAGTGTGGAAAAACACGCCTGCAGATTTCACTGAGAAACTCAAATCAAGTCTCCTGAAAATAGAATTATGGTCTCATTAAAGTTCAGTGAGCAATTAAAAATGTTTTCTTCCTTAACTAAGAAGAGCTCTTTTTAGAGTTGAACAGGGCAAATCTGAAAAGAGCTTATCATCAGTTTACTAATGTTAGTTTTACTAGCTAGCTAAAAGAATCCTTTGAGCTGAACTTCACATTGTGGTAACTGGTTGTCACCATAATCATTCTGTGAATGTAGCTAACTTAGCCAGACTTATAAAGATCTCAGAATGTCCCAGGAGTGTCATAACGAGAATTAATCATGACGTTATCCGTGAGCTTTCTTATGATCATTTGCCAAAAAAAGTCAAAATAGAAATTTAAGATTTTTAGTCAATAAATTATTCAAGTAGGTAAACATAGCAGAAGAACTACTGTGTTAACATCATCAGCAGAAGACTGTTATAAAGGGAATTAAGGGTGTGTTGGTCCAGGATGTAGATGTGTGGTCTAAGTTGAGGTTATGGGTGAATGAAGTTTTGCTCAGGACCCCAGTAAAGCTAAGATCAGCACAGTAACAGTAACAGATCAGCTCACACACTTTACCTTTCCTCTCCAGAGTTTCTCTGCCATAACCCACATACTTCTGTAACCACTGGATACATTCAGTCTCCAGAAAGGTCTTATGGCCTTTGGCTTTATCCGTCTTCTCCCACTCCTGTTTTATAATAACAGCTTTATCATTGGCTGCAGACCAGGTGGAGGTGTTCAGATCCAGAGTGAGGAAATCTTCTCCATCGTAACCGTACCGGCTGTATCCACTCTTGATTCCATCACCATGCAGTTTACAGCCGATCGTCCACTGCCATGTATGAATGCCTGCAGAGACAGATATGAGCACATCACACTGTCATCTTCCTCTCACGCTGCATTTAAAAATCAGTAGGACTAAAAATGACAAAAAAATATTTTATTTTACTTTTGTGATTTTCTTTTTATTAAAATAATGTAATATAATTAATATTGTTTAGTTTTTTTTAAATGAATGTAATTTTTACTTGTTTTATATACTTTAAAAAATAAACATGTGTTTATGTTTATGTTTTATGTCCGGTGCTGCAGTTTCTCTGGGTTTCTTTGGATGGACTGGGTTTCACCTATACACCTCAACATTTGCTGCCACTGTATTCTATGTTTATCAGTGCACAGGTAGGAGCACAAAAGAGAGCAGTAATAGGAGATTGGGGGGGTGGGGGTGGGATGCTCTTTTTGTGAACAATAAATGGTGTAATCTGTGTCACATAACTGTTAAAGCTGCATGGAAAAAGGACATTTCCCCAAACTTGATGGAAATGACGAGTCTTTATTGTAATAAAAGCAGTAACCAAGTATGTGAGAAGCACAGCAGAGTCAGACTGAACATAGAACCTCCAAAGCAGTGGTCTCCAGCCCTCCTGGAGTGTACTGTAACTACACTTTTGTCATAAGAGTCAGTGCATCGCCAGGCCAGTTTCAATCCCAAATGGTATTTACCTTCCCCAAATAAATGCACGTTATTAATTTATATCATCAAAGGTTTTTCTGTGCTATTGTGTCTCTAATTTCCCAATATCCTTTTATTTCCCTTAGGCCTACTAAAAGTCCTTCAGGAGCACAGTGACAACTCATCCAGAAAGTCACAAAAGAACCCAGATGAACATATAAGGAACCTCAGGCCTAGCTCACATCAGATAAGGTCAGCCTTCATTCCACCATCAGAAAGAGACTGGACAAAATGGTATCCACAGGACAGCTGCAGGGTGAAAACCACTGCAAATGAAGAGGAACATAAAGGCTCTTCCTATTATTGACAAAAATATCTTGTTGACCCAAAAGCCTTTAGGAATAATGTTCTGTGGAACTCTTTAGAAGACAGGTCCCGTTACATATAGCGTAAAGTTAACACAGCTGTAGTCCCCTTTTGCCACCATGGGAAAGGGGTCTGTATGTTTAACCTGGGTTCTACAGGTACGGTTCTCACTAACTAAGCTTACTGTATATCAATATAGCTTAACCACCTTTATTTCAGGAATATTAACATCTTAGAATACCAAATGGGTGGTGTCAGAGTTAGTGTATAAAAGAAAATGTCTTGTAAAATATGTAGTCAAAATGAAAATGTCAGTTTCAAAGTTTGTAAACTGAAACAGTTTGTAAACTTAAATGTACAAATGACTAAGGTGACCGGTCACTCAACCTACAATAATAATTCGTCTGTTTTGCTAGTGGCTAACCCGAGGAACCTCAAACGTTTCTGGTAGCCCGAGGCACTGTCAAATAGCATGTCTTCCTATGGAGGCTGTCCTCTGATGGACTAACTCAGGGTACAGTCCATAAACCCCACTGGGAGTGGGTTTAGCAGTTAAGCTAATGCTGTTTACCAAAGCTATGGCTAATGCCGATTTCCCAGGTTAAAGGCTCATGCTTTTGTTAGCAACTGAGTACTACTGTTAGCAGCTAGCACTGTTGCTAATGCTTATCTTCAATGAAGCAGCTAACGTTAGTGGTTAATGCTACTGTAAACACACCGTAAAACTCATTTTGCACTCTCCTGCATGAAGCGTTTGATGCTGAATGCCTCTTTTATCTCAGGAGGGAGCTGCACATGTTCGCTAAGCTCCAATAAAACTGGAACAGCAGAGATGCTATTGGTGCTCAGGAGCTACACAGGCTGCGAAGTCTCTCTTACCGGGGGTATTTCCCTCTCTCTGTCTCTCTGTCTGACTGTCTCTCCCTGTCTCAGTCTGAGCCCATTTCACATCTGAATCTGTGTAACTACAATCTCATTCCTCGGTCTTAGCAGTCACATTTCTTTTATTAGGTAGAATGGTTAGTAGCTTTATGTAACCATGGTGTGATTTTTATTTATATAGCGCTTTTCATGCCAGTGGGAGCTCAAAGTGCTTCACAGACAGGTGATAAAAACAGTTAAACGGGAAGGCAGAAGTTTTAATTTAGAATCACAAGAAAATGACACGGATCACATTAAAAGAGAAATACCACGAGACATAGAGTTTTAATTAAACATTAAGTTAAAGAGCTGGTACCAAATTCAAAATGGGCATGTATTTTTCTAAAATCAATAAAACTTCTCAGTTTCATCATTTGATATGTTGTCTTCGAAGCATTTTCAATGAAATATAGTGTTTAAATGATTTGCACATCATTGCATTTTGTTTTTTATTTACATTTTCCACAGCGTCCCAACTTGGGAATGGGGCTGTAAAATAAACAAGGAAATAATGTGGAGTGGAATCCAGAAGTCTGATAGCGTTAGAGTAGGCACTGCTACTAAACTGAGATCTTCTACACAAGATGCTTTGAGACCTTTTGCTGGAAGGGAGCTTTTAAAATGGTACTGTGCTGGGTGTGAGCTGTCTGCATAGCTTTTTAATGCTTTCTTTCCCATCCTTCTGCTATATATAGAGGCAACAGATTGAAGTTCACAGCCAATTGCACAGTGGTGTACTTGCGACACACGCATGTACATATGTATACACACACCTTCAATGTGATTGAAGCGCCGCATTACTGTAGCTATACTGAGATTGAAGGCCTCCTGATAACGACGTGCATCCTTTATGCTCGAGTTCCACGGCTCTTCATTCACAGTGTTCTTTATCCAGTCTACTTTTTGGAGTTCTTTGCTGTCACTGTCATAATACCCGATTTGAAGTCCATCCAACTGACTGACAGCAGTGAACTCTGGGAAGTTGATTCCTGGTGTGACGCCAGTGAGGAAGAATTGCAGAGAGTGATTGGCTGTAAAGATAAAGAAAAATATCATTTAAATGATTTCTCAGATAACTGCAACTGGAAATCAAAGGCTACTGCACTATAGAAAAAAATAGTAATCTGGTGTTTAAACTTGATGACCAGCTGAATGAATTTATTCCCTACGTTTATACCCTAAAAACCTCAGCAGTGGGCAGATAAAACAAACTCCTCAATGTTCCAAACAAAACTAATCTGTCTCATATTTAAGCTTCATAATAAAATGCTGTGTGTGTTTTACTCTTCCTCAACAGAGAACACATGAACAGCATGATCAGTGTGTCAGACACTCGGAAATCATAAAAAAATCTATTTTTAAACTCACTCTTTACATCTATTTAATCACATATTCCTTTCCAGTATGCAGAAGCTCAAACGCATTTTTAATTTTTAAATATGAACTGTTATGGGCAGGTTTGTGATTTCGTCATTTCGCTGTATAAATAATCAAAGTGTAAACAGAGCACACAAGAGGAAACTCTCTTGATAAAGACCTATTTTTAATTACTGCCATGAAGTGTTTGTTTATCTCTGAATCATGCTGTAAAACTGAAAGGATACATATTGGGGCTCTTCAGCTTGCCACACTTAAGGGTGACTCGTGGAACCTTTTTGAAAAGGGCAGTTCCTTGACAAGCTTACAATAATGTAGCGTCTATGTTAATGAGGGAATTAGGTAGGGCTAGCTTGTTTAGGTTTCACAGTGCGCAGGATGGTGTATCGGTCAGGACACAGGAATGAAGATGAGGAGATGTAGTTCCTTCTTTAACTGTATTGTGTTCCAGCAGTATTTAGTGATACAGCTTGATATTCAGTATTGCCATTAGTCTGAAATAACAGAATAAATCAGCAATCAAACATAAATCAAGCCCAAACTTTATCAGTAAACATTACAATGCCCGTTTAGCAGAAACAAACCTAGAGTCACACACAAATGAGAAAATGATTCCTCGGAGAAATAGATGTGCTCATACACACGCACACACACACACACGCACATATATATATATATATATACATACATACAAGGGTACTGCAGAATGGTGTATAAACACGGCGGCCATTTTCCTTGCATATAGACGCTGCTAACCCGTCATTACGATACAGTGGTCTCACATTAACTGAGATATACAAAAGCTGCATCCCATTTCAACAACAGGTCAGAGTATTCGGTCTTCTTGGAGCGAGTGGGCGGGGTTCTGGAAAGGACCCCGCCTACAGACTCCATAGTTTTACTGGGAGACTTCAATGCTCAAGTTGGCAATGACTGGGAGACCTGGAGAAGCATGATTGGGAAGAACGGCCCGATCTAAACCCGAATGGTGAATTGTTATTGGACTTCTGTGCCACAAGGATGTTCATAAGTGTATATGGTACCAGGGCTCCTTGGGTCAAAGGTCAATGATCAACTTTGTTGTCGTTTCATCTGACTTGAGACCAATGTTCTGGACACTCGGGTGAAGAGAGGTGCTGAGCTGTCAACTGATCACCATCTGGTGGTGAGTTGGATCAGATGGCAGGGAAGACTGATGGTCAGACCCGGTAGGCCCAAGCGAATAGTGAGGGTGTGCTGGGAATGACTGTCGGAGGCTCCTGTTTGGAATGACTTTAAGTCCCAGCTTTTCTCATGTCCTGGAGAAGGTAGGGGACATGGAGTCTGAATGGACCCAGTCGGCTTCGAGGAGGTTCGGGACAACTGTCCGGTGACTCAGGAGCGGTCGCGGTGGCTTCGCCCAAGCTGTATTCGGCAGGGGTGGAGAAACTCTGACTTCAAATGAGGATATTGTTGGTCGGTGGAAGGGGCATCTTGAGGTACTCCTTGATCTGGAAGACATGCCTCCCTTACGGGAGTCAGGGCCAGAGGCTTCTGGCGTGTCAAGCTCCATTTCCCTGGTGGAGGTCATTGAGGTAGTTGGCAAGCTCTTCAGTGGCAAGGCACCAGGGGTGGATGAGATTCGTCCGGAGATGCTTGAGGCTCTAGATATTGTGGGGCTGTCGTGGCTGACACGTCTCTGCAATATTGCTTTGACCTCGGGAACAGTACCCTTGGACTGGCAGACCGGGGTGGTGGTCCCTATTTTTAAGAAAGGAGACCGGAGGGTGTGTGCCAGCTACCGGGGTATCACACTGCTCAGCCTTCCCAGGGAAAGTCTATGCCAAGATGCTGGAAAGGAGACTTTGACCGATAGTTGAACCTCAGATTGAGGAGGACCAATGTGGATTCCATCCCGGCTGTGGAACAATGGACCAGCTTTTTACCCTCTCACAGATTGTTGAGGGGGCATGGGAGTTTGCCAACCTGTATTTTGTGGACTTGGAGAAGGCTTACGACTGGGTTGTTGGGGTGCCGGGGCTCCTACTCTGGGCCATTCAATCTCTATACTCCCGGAGTGAGAGCTGTGTTCGTATACTCGGCATTAAGTCGGACTCTTCCAGTGTTAGCGTTGGACTCTGCCAGGGTTGTGTCCTGTCTCCACTCCTGTTCGTGATATTCATGGACAGGGTGTCAAGGCCTAGCCGAGGTTAGGAGGGCGTTATGTGTGGAGGCCGGAGGCTGGCATCTCTGCTATTTGCAGACAATGTTGTTCTTTTGGCTGGATCACATGGATGCCTCCAGCGCTCACTGGAGCGGTTTGCAGCTGAGTGTGAAGTGGTTGGTATGTTGATCAGCACCTCCAAGTCTGAGTCCATGGTCCTAGCCCGTAAAAAGGATGGCATGCCCACTCCAGGTAAGGGGACAGGACTTGCCCCAGGTGGTGGAGTTTAAGTATCTCAGGGTCTTGTTCACAAGTGATGGGAAGAGCATTCGTGAGATTGGTCGCAGGCTGTGACCAGCGGCAGCAGTAATGCAGTCACTGTACTGGACTGTAACGGTGAAGAGGGAGCTGAGCCATAAGGCAAAGCTCTCTGTTTACCGGTCGGTCTACATCCCAAACCTCACCTATGGTCATGAGCTATGGGTAATGACGAAAGAATGAGATCATGAATACAAGCAGCAGAAATGAGCTACCTTCGCAGGGCGGCAGGCTACACTCTACTTGATAGGGTGAGGAGCTCGGTCATCCAGGAGGAGCTTGGAGTAGAGCCGCTACTCCTCCACATTGAGAGGAGCCAGTTGAAGTGGTTTGGGCATCTGATCCGGATGCCCCCTGGACGCCTCCCGGTGGGGGTGTACCAGGCACGGCCTACCGGGACAACACCCCGGGGTCGTCCTAGGACCCGCTGGAGGGATTATATCTCCAAATAGGCCTGGGAGCGGCTTGGGGTCAACCCTATCTGGACTAAGAGGTTAACGACGATGATGATGATGATGTCATCAAGTACACAGAGAAACAAAAACAACATTCGTCCAGGATCAACACAGGAACACAAGTGCAAAACAATACAATATACACAGTACAGACAATACAGTACAATAAATAAATACAAAAGACTTAGAATAATTACAAAACAGAACACAGGCAGTATACAGTACTGAGAGTATGTGGAGTTGTGTAAAGAAAGATGTAACATACTATGACATATTAGTAGATTAGCAGATAGCCTAGCATATATGAGCATAACAGTCACTGAGGTAACAGCCAGAACAGCAATGGTATACAGTATTTGGTTGATACAGTAATTCTAGCAGCTAATGTTGTTAAAGTGAAGTAAAAAGTCCATAAATGCAAGTATTCAGATCTACAGTCACATGAAGTGAAGTGTTTCAGTGAAATGCAGAAATTATATTTAAATACAGTGTTCCAGACACAATTTTGGAACTACAAGAAGTGGGGAGTGAGTTAGTCCCATATTGTTATGTATGTGTGTCTGGGTCCGTGTGGGTGTTATGTATGTGTGTGTGTGGGTCTGTGTCGGTGTTATGTATATGTCTGTATGGGTCTGTGGGAGTTGAGGATGTGTGGGGTTGCTCACAATGCTAATGGCTTTTCGGTTGCAGCGTGTGGTGTAAATGTCCGTGATGGAGGGAAGAGAGACCCCAGTGATCTTTTCAGCTGTCCTCACTATTTGAAGTCAACGACCATCTCCTTTGTTTTGTCCACATTCAGATGTAGGTTACTGACTTTACATCAGCCTGTCAGGCACCGCTCTTCCTCTCTGTATTCTGACTCATCGTTCTTGCTGATGAGACCAACCACAGTTGTGTCAGAGATGCTGCTCCTGACCCAGACTGACTGAGGTCTCTCAGTAAGAAAGTCCAGGATCCAATTGCAGAGGGAAGTGTTCAGGCCCAGCAGGCTCAGCTTTCCAACGAGATGCTGAGGGATGATGGTGTTGAATGATGAACTGAAGTCTATGAACAGCATTCTAACACAAGTACTCTTTTTCTCAAGATGAGTGAGGGCCAGATGAAGAGTGGTGGCTATGGAGTCATCTGTAGAGCGGTTGGAGCGATATGCAAACTGCAGAGGGTCCAGTGAAGGAGGCAGCTGGGTCTTGATGTGCCCCAATATGAACCTTTCAAAGCACTTCATAATGATGGGTTTAAGAGCAAGGGGACGATAGTCATCGAGGCAAGGCACTGGAGATTTCGTTGGCATGGGGACGATGGTGGTGGCCTTGAAGCATGCTGGACCAACAGCGCTGCTTAGTGAGATGTTGAAGATGTCCATAAGAACTTCCACTAGCTGGTCTGCACATTCCTTGAGCGCTCAGCCAGGAATGTTGTCTGGTCCCACAGACTTCCGTGGGTTAACCCTTCGCAGAGTTTTCCTCAGAACAGCAGTGGACAGGCACAGGACCTGATCACAGAGTGGAGGGGTGGTCTTTCTTGCTGCCATGTTATTCTGCACTTCAAACTAATATAAACCAGTATGGGTTTAATTTAGAACAAGTTTCTGTAGTGAAAATGTTTGGATGCAGTTCAGTTATTATAAGTTGTTGGTAGGATTGCCAAAGTGTACCAGGTGGTTGCTAAGGTGTTGCTAGATGGTTGCCAAAGTGTTACTTTACAGTTGCAAAGCTGTTGCTAGGTTGTTGCCAGGGTGTATGGGGTGATTGCTAAGTTGTTGCTAAGGTGCTACGGTATACAGGGTGGTTTACTCTATGTGTGGTTTAAAAAAATTAACAGGAGTCTATGGGAAGACAGAGGACAGAGACATCTAGTGTTATCCCTGGAACATTCCTGTTATCTAGATCTACTGCTGCTCTGTTCCTGCTGGATCCTCAGCTGGAAAGATCTTTGTTTTGGACAATTAAAAAAATGGAAAAAAGTATTCGACATGAACCACACATAAATATCTTAGCTAGCTAGCTAGCTGGCTAACGTATAGGCAGGAATATGAAAATAGCTAATACTTATTCCATATCACAAGCTAATGTGGATGTTAACTTCTTTCAGAAAGAAGCTAATGTTAGCTTAAAGAAATAACATCTATGTTACCTTGTGATATGAAGTAAGCTAACATGAGCAGTAGCTTCTTTATAGCTTGTGAAAGGAACTGCTAGCTAAGTTCTTGACGTTGCTCCATTCAGGCTGCAGTGGATTTTCAAACATTCAGATGCAGCTGATAGAAGTTGTCTTATGTTTCATTATGAGATGATAATCTGTATTGTTCAAACTGGTTAAAATGTAATGCAGTTTTTTATGTAATGTTCATTTTGGGTGCTTACAGTAGGCGAAGCCTTCCAAAAGGAGAAGAATTAAACAGAGAGAGAGTTGAGGGAGGCAGCTAAGGGGAGCACAGCAGTGCAGAGCTGGATTCAAACAACCAGCAGAGCAGCAGGTGAACATTACGATGGAAATATCAAGCATTACATACATAACTGATTTCGTGTGAAGTTGGCCCTTTTTAAGTTGGAAATAGGCTAATAACTAACTCCAACTAATATTTCATTACACAGTGTATTGTATCTGTGCACAGTAGCATTGTGAGGGAGTTACATCTTTAAAATAATGTAGGTGTCTAACCCCAAAAGCTTCAGTTCAGAGAGCGTTGGAGAGTCTGGTGATCAAGTAAAATACTAATAATAGCTTTTGTGAATTATGGGATAGTAAATCCAGAAATTATGTTCTTGAAATTCTACATAACATTTTGTTATTGTTCTGGATTCTAGTACATATTTTTACGTATAAAACCAGACATAGTCTACTCCAGTCTAATAAATGTTTCCTCAAACATTGAACGCTTTACATAGCTTCTGCTGTCTTTAACAAGTCATTAAATGAAGGACCATTGTGCCATGTTGAAGCGGTGTGATCATCATACAGGTACACATCCTTTACAACCAAATTGATAGATGACAGTGTTAACCAAATCATATTGCTGCCTAAACAAGTGTACAAGAAATTACATCTGCAAAAATACATTAACTGTGTGCTGTTTTTTTTTATTTCATTAATGTTTAAACTGTAACACAGTTAAACTTGATTTGTGTTTAGTTAAATGACCATAATTCACACCTTTCAGTTACACGCTGATGGTGAGGCCTAAAATGGGGGGTGAGGGGTGAGGGTGGGGGGGTTGGGTTGGGAGCTGCTCCTTTTTCATTTTAGCACAACAGCCCTTCGAAATGTCTGTGCACGTCGCTGATTCCTTTACTGGTGTCCTTATTCAGCATGAAGAAATGTTGTGGAATAGGGATTTGCTCATACAAGCTGAAGATAAACATGCAGAAGCAAGTCGCACAGCAGCAAAGGCTGTGAAAACAGGACACTAGTAAACCACACATCAGCCACTGGAAACATTAGGAGCTCTTAGTTTATTTAAAAGCACTTTCTCCTCAGTTGAGGCATTATTGAATATTCTGTCAGATTAAGAAAAACTCAATGATTTATTTTTTAAACTATTCACTGTTGTTGCTGGAATCTCACTTTATTTTCTTTATTTTTATGCTTTTTAATGAAACAAGTTAATGGAAAACTATGACTGAGTATTGTCATAGCAATTAGCACAAAATGCTTATCTGGGGGGACCTGGTTGCTGAAACGGTTCAAGCGTGTCACTAATGAGCGGTTCAGAGGAGCAACAGCGTCTTTTCTTTACTTTATTTCACATTTATTTTTTATTTAAAATGACTTTTAATGCTAATTTACCTTGTTTCCTTTTGGGCTGAAAAATAACGGTCTGTTGTTAGGGCATGAGGCGGCTACCAGGCTTCAGTTTCTGTAACCACAAGAGTAAACTTTTTTTTCAGCTCAAATTGGCATGTCTTCATTCATGGGACGGTACCACAGGTACCACGATCATCTCTTCAGTTCGTATGAGCACGTCCTCATTCTGCAGCTGCATGTTCTACAAGCATATTTTGGGCCAAAAGATGATATCAATAAAGGCTGGAATGACCCCCCATAGCGCTGTCTCTACTCTACACACCTGACCTAGACCAAGAGACGCTTCTTAATTAGCAAATGAGTTCAATCAGGTGTGCTGAGACAACGCATGTAGACAGTGTGGAGTCACCAGGACTGAAATAGGGAACCACTGCATTAACGTAATGAATCCTTAAAATAAAACTGAACCACTTTCTTATGAAATGCTCACATTCAGTGATTTATAAACTGGTAGCAGCACTTTAAATCTGTTCTGTAATTAACGGGAAGTTACTGTAAAGATTTCAGAGCTGGAGTGATGAGCTCTGCTCTCTCAGTCCTGGTTAAAACTCTTATCAGCTGCAGTCTGAATGTTTTTTTGGAAGTCCCGTTAAAATACCGTCACAATAGACCAACCTACTGGAGATAAAAGCGTGGATGAGCTTCTCTAGGTCTTATTGGGACACCAAAAATTTGATTTTGGCTATAGTTTTAAGAGGGTAGCCTCATTAAGAAACCTACTATACTGTCAAAAATAAGGTACTGTTCTTGTACATTTTTGGTCATTGAGGTGCAAATAATGGCATCCATGAAACTTCTTAGAGTAGGTGCTGATCTAGAATCTCTTCCAGTCAGAAACATGATTGGAGATGAATATGAGACGATATGAAAGAGGATCAGGTCACTTAAGCATTTAAGTGGTTCCCAAAACAAATCTCTTGAAATATTTCTGTTATATTTCTGTTATAAAGAAAACAAAAAACAAACAAACAAAAAAAAAAAAACATTGCATGCATCATTTCTTCACTAATACTTGCTTATTTTTCAGTGACACAATTCAGCTCCGACTTTCCCACTTCAAAGCCAAGTCTATGTCTATTTACCCTGTTATGTATCTCTCTCACACACAGCATAGAGTTTCCAACATATAATAAATATGAGGAGTGTAATTTCCAAGCAGGGAAAGCTACTGGAGCGCAGCTTTAGCCTTTGGACTGACCTGCTGAAGCAAGATGAAGAGTGAAGATAAGGAGCAGCAGGGACTTCATGATGTGTCCTGTCTCTCACTGCGGACTGGATCCAGAAGAGAGTGAAATAAACTCCTTAATCCGGACAAAATAACCAGTCCACGTCTTCAGCCTCCTGGAGATCTTTCTGTTTTCTGCTCTGGAGACTCAGCAGGAGCAGCAGAGGAGTTTACACACAGTAGAAATCTGAGAATTTGGGAGTCTGGAGCTCTGACCAATAAGAAATAAGGAAAAATCACGAGCCGCAAAGCTGAGAGCAAAGGAGGGTGCTAATGTCAAAGTGAAACTGCAGGGGTGGATCTCATATATCTGTCCCAGCTCCTGCAGCCGACTGGGTCTGACTGATCTGTGAAAACGTCACAGTCCTGATTTAGTGTGTCAGTAGTTTGTGTAGACTGTGAGTCAGGAGTGAAATACAGATGTTTTTACTTTAGAAGTTCAAAAGAAGAGATCAACATCTATGAAGATTTACCAAATGCAGCTTAGTATACTTATAGAGTATTTTATTCAGGTCTATTTCTATTATCGTGTAAAAATGGTATTTAGGTTAGTTGTCCAGCACCAATTTACCTGATCTGTGAAATGTTTCACAGCAGTGTTTTTCAGATGTACAGACCACCAGTAATCAGGTAGTTTTAGGTATCAGCTGAACATTTTCACAAACATAATTTCTGCATATGGTTTATTTGATAAAAGGTATATTGATTAACACACTTCTAAATGATCCTTACCTGGGGAAAGAAGCCCCCGCCCCACCTGAGAAAAGAAGTCTACCCTCTACCTGGGAAACGAAGCCCCCATACCTGAGAAAAGAAGCCCCTTAACTGGTAACTGTGATGAAAGGAATAAAACTGTAAAATAGAGATGAAGGAGAAATTCAAATACAGAAGCAGAAGAATATGTTGGGATAGTCCTTCATTCAGAGTTTTTATTTAAAAAATTAAACTCATAAAACTTAAACAACATAGAAAAACATACAAAAAAGTATTATTGTCACAAGTGTAAATTTAAGGTATAAGGTTTGGGACAGACACCTCCCAACACAAAGTTCCCTAAAAATGATGATTCTGCATATATTTAGTTGACTACTATGTCTATTCATGTCTTGCGTTTAAATAAATCATAACATAGTCCTTGTAAATAACACAACTGTCGAACTGGAACAAATTTTAGGCCACTATTGTAACAAAACTTTGTACTTAAAAAATGGTAATTTTACAAAAGTAGATGGAGGCACTTTTAATATACAACCCCATTTCCAAAAAAACAAAATGCAATGATGTGCAAATCATTTAAACCCTATATTTCATTGAAAATAGTACAAAGACGACATATCAAATGTTCAAACTGAAAAATTGTATTTTTTTTTGAAAAATATTTGCCCATTTTGAATTTGATGCCAACAACACGTTCCAAAAAATTTGGGACAGGGGCAACAAAAGGCTGGAAAAGTTGTGTAATGCTAAAAACACCTGGTGATTGACTGACAACAGGTCAGTAACATGATTGGGTATAAAAAGAGCATCTCAGAGAGGCTGAGTCTTTCAGAAGTAAAGATGAGGAGGGGTTCACCACTCTGTGAAAGACTACATGATCAAATAGTGCAACAATTCAAGAATAATGTTTCTCAACATAAAATAGCAAAGAGCTTTTGCTTTTCATCATCTACAGTACATAATAACATTAAAAGAGAATCTGGAAAAATCTCTGTATGCAAGTATACCTGTCTAGGGGTTCGTAATGATCATAACATAAAAAAAGGACAAAAGAGATCCAGATGACATTTAACAGATCAAGTCGTGTTATTTTCTTTTTATGCTGCTCTTTTGTGTTCACGACACAGGAGAACGTCAGAGTGGGCATGCGCCAAAACAACAAACAAAAACCAGCCTAGCTAGAGAGTTCAGAAAACTAACTTACCTAAGGGAAACAAAAACACAGTCAGTCTTCCCCAACTCCCTAACTATACCAAAACAGGAGAAAACAGTCAAAAGAAATGGCACCCACTCCTACAACCTGGTTGGCATAAGAGTGAACGTTTACAGAGACAGATCATGAGCTTACGATTTGACTGTAGAAATAACTGGGTAGAGAACAAGAGGTTAAGCTAAGCTATTTCTTTGGACATAGGGACAGACAAGCCATAAAACAAACAAGCTGAGCTGCGGTTCAGATCTACAACAATCGCCCCAAGCCGCCATGGAGGAAAGCCTCGATGACATCCAGCGCAGCCGTCAAAGAAATACTCCATTCAATTTCAGCCAGCCAATCAGACGCAAGCATCGTTATGGGACTCCAGCCAATCACACGCACGAGTGGGCGGGTTCCTAATAAGCAAGAGTATAAGAGAGAGAGAGAGAGAGAGAGAGAGAGAGAGAGAGTGTGAGTGAGTGAATCCATACATTGAGACACACATCAAGTTTCATGGAGATCACCAAATTTAAGACTGTCAAACACCTGCTGAAATCTGATTGGCTGATAGCAGCCATCATTTTTTTGAATATGACATCAGCCTCATAGAACCTGAGCCAGGACAACACACAATAGCAGCATGCAAATTTTCATGTCAATCAGACAACCTTTAGTTCCACAACACTTTTTTCACATGTTATAGCGCCACCTAGGGATGAAGCTACACCAAAATTTAAAGATCACTTTTGACTACCCTGGGGTACATGCCTGTGACGATTCATGACAGTCGGTCAAAGTGTAGCTTGTAGCACGGTATATGCATGACTACTGCAATATGAGCTCCACTCCTATTTTTGTGTAGTAACTGGACACAACACAGAGTTAATATCAACATTTTTATTATAATTGTTAAAGTTTGGTCTCTTATGATTCTTTTGTGTAGATTGGGCAAAAACCCAGGGACTAGTTTGCACTCAAACATCTGTGTAATTTTGCATAAAATGCAAATTATCTCAAACTGGCAGAGCTATATAGCTCTTGAGGCTTTTTGTGGGCCATGAGACAAAATTAAGGGGAAAAAAAGAATTTTGTCTCTATGACATACAGTGCAGGAGATATGGACCAAAACATTTAAAGCTTCCCCATTATGCCACCATCAGGCCGGGCTGAGCTCGTGAGCCAAAGTAGAGGGAAGGACTACTACCCATTGACCAAGTATCATGTCTGTACATCTTACAATTTGGTCTGCATGATTCATTTTAGTAAAGAACAAAGAGAGGAAGAAGAAAAAACCTAACAATAACAGTACAGTCTAATAGAGCCTAATAATCATGTTACCAAAACTCTGTTATACACATGCACTAAAAATACAGAAATAAAGATGCCTTATATGTTTACAGCACCTCCATGTCCTATTTTGTAGTTGAAAGTTGGATTTACAGAGTGACTACATAGCCTAGGTTTGTCATGTGCTGGAGGCTATAAATATCCCACTGCCTAGGCACGGACTTGCAGGGTTGCCATATTGAGGGAAAAAACTTTATTTATGGATTTATTTATTTAAAATGGTGGAATTGGTGAGTGAAATGGTGAGAGATCTTGACCAAAATTCCTCATTTCCTCTCTGGAAAAACTAATATATGTATGTGCCCCTTTACAGATTTTAAGACATTTAAAATCTTCATTGACCTCAAGGACAGACATAGGTGGGTCATCTCACAGGGTGGTCTGCCAGAAATGCTTGTGTATCTGTAGTTTATATATTGTAAACTGTCATTTTATTCTCTCCTACTACAGACCTGTACGCTTCCAAAATGCATAGGTACATATTTACATAACGTTCCAGTAAGGAGGAATTTCATTCATCTGGCAACCCAGCCACTCCCCCAGCTACTGCCGAGTTAGTGTAGAAGGAAGTGCTGAAGTAGTGGACGCAGAAAAAGTTCTTTAGTAAGAAGTTCTACAGCATGAACTGCTGAAAATGGATCACTGTACGCTGGTACTGAAATACCTGCTTCTCCTCTCAGTTAATGTCCATCTAACACCAGCAGGTGAGTCTGATCTCAGCTGCCTTTCCAGTTTCACTCTGACTGAATTGTGGTAGACAATGCATCACTCAGAGACACCCAGCTGGCATTTCAACGTCTATTCACGGTTGAATCAGCGTGGTGGATCAAGGTTGAATCAGCGTTGGGTTTTGTTTCGCTTTTGGAAAGTTAATCCATGTTGATATCACGATGTAAGATCTTACTTTTGCACGCCGAGCTTGAACCTCATTGGCCCAATTCTGACCCAAATGCTTGGCTCACATCCAGGTACATCGTGATATTAACACTCCCCTGCCCAGCTAGCAAAATATACTCACTTCATTCACTTCCAGATACTTTCTGCCCAAGTCTAAATCGGTTTATTAACCGCACGTACCTCAATCAAAAGTATAGCATTTGCTCAGATGTAGCCTAACATTCACTTTTATTCAGAAATAGCATAACAGAGAATCCAAAAACAACAACAACAACAACAACAACAACAACAACAAAAAAGAAAACCAATGGACCCAATCCCCAATGAATACAGTACAGCACAGCTGAACAATCAATAGTCTGTCATAGTTTTAATGTCCATCATCACCATCTAGTATGCCAGTATGTACTGTATCGTGCCGCGTGAAGTCACCAATTCACCCGTGAAGCTCACCTGTTTTCACCTGTATGCATGCATGAATTTCAAACACTAGAAATCATTTAGAAACAATTGGTTTAATTGTCTTACAGAGAGCACCAGTCAAAAAGTTTGGACGCACCTTTTCATTTAATGTTTTTCTTTATTATTTTCTACATTGTGGATTAATACTGAAGACATCAAAACTATGAAGGAACACAGTTCAATACAAAACTGTAGAACTGTGTACCAGTGCTGCCTCCTCAAAACACAACTGATCTTCTCAAACACATTAAGACAAGCAGTTCCACAGATTAACTCTTCACAAGGCAACCTGTTAATTACATAAATTAACACCTGTCAGTTAACACCACTCCAGGTGACCATCACTACTGATGGACAAAAAGCCAAGAGTGTTTACTACATAAATGTTCCTTTATAGTTTTGATGTCTTCAATATTAAATCAACAATGTAGAAAATAATGAATGAAAAGGTGTGTCCGAACTTTTGACTGGTACTCTAAATGCAGTACTTGCCCACAACATGGACAGAATGGGTGGAATAGTCAGTACATAGGTACATAATCACTTGCCATATAGCAATAAACAGGTGTTTACAGTGAAAAATACAAACTAAACTGAAGTGTGCAGTACGTCATTGTGCTTTGATATATGTGTACACCCATTGGACACTGTATTTACAGCTACCTTGTATTTACTCATTTTCCATTTAATCAGGTCCACTTTTATAGGAGCACTTTGTAGATCTACAATTACAGACTGTAGTCCGTCTGTTTCTCTGATGCTTTACCCTGTTCTTCAGTGGTCAGGACCCCCACAGAGCAGGTATTATTATGGTGGTGGATCATTCTCAGCACTGCAGTGACACTGACAGTGATTAGACACAGCAGTGCTGCTGGAGTTTTTAAACACCTCAGTGTTTCTGCTGGACTGAGAACCAGAAACATCCAGCCAACAGCGTCCTGTGACCACTGATGAAGGACTAGAGGATGACCAACACAAACTGTGGAGTAACACATGAGCTACTGCCTGACTTTACATCTACAAGGTGGTCTGACAAGGTAAGAGTGTCTAATAGAGTGGACAGTGTTTAAAATCTCCAGCAGCACTGCTGTGTCTGATCCACTCGCACCAGCACAACACACACTAACACACCACCACCACATCAGTGTTACCGCAGTGCTGAGAATGATCCACCACCCAAATAGTACCTGCTCTATGGTAGTCCTGTGGGCGTCCTAGTCATATTAAAAAATTACCTTTTTAATTGAGTTTATTATTTCTTACATTATTTTGTAAGAGCATAAAAATAAAAAATAAAAATAAAACAGTGACTTCCTACATAAATCACTGTATAATCACTATATGCACTGCTGGTGGTGACCCCATTTTGCTAGCTGAAAGTATTTCTGAAATAGACAAGAAAAATCCCATAAGTACTTCTTTCTAGTCAGTAGTGATCCACATGCCTGCCTCACCGAGTCAGTCTACAGACTTTCTTTTCTCATCTTTTTAGCCTCCCACTCTCTGCGCTACTTCTACATTGGCGTCACACCGGAAGTAAATTTCCCAGAGTTCACTGTTGTTGGTCTGGTGGATGGAGAGCAGATTGTGTACTATGACAGTAATGTTAAGGAGATGATCCCGAAGAACGAGTGGATAAAGGAGGTTGATGCTGATGAACCAGATTACTGGAACACGGAGACGCAGAAGTTTCAGGGTAGCCAGGATGTCTTGACTGGCAATCTGGCGACAGCAATGGAGCGGTTCAATCACACTGGAGGTGAGTATGAACACTCACAGAACCTGGACCACCTACTGTGACAGGAAATGATCATCTGACTGAGCAATGCACAGTGCAGTCTGGCTCTTTTCAGTGATTAAACGAATGTGTTTCTCTGATTGGTGAGTGTGTTTGGGAGTGGTTATAGCTTGTAGAACTGTGTGCTGATTGGTTTAAGTTCAGTGTATTGGGTGTGTACTGTACATAGAGTGTAGGATGGTGCAGTCAGTGATGAACAAACAGCTGAACTGAACTAACTCTGTGTGTGTGCATGCAGGCCTTCATACAATACAGGTGATGTACGGCTGTGAGCTGTATGATAATGGAACTAATAGAGGATACAACCAGTACAGTTACGATGGAGAAGACTTCATCAGTCTGGATATGAACACTCTCACCTGGACTGCAGCTCATCCTAAAGCTGTTATTACCGAACAGAAGTGGGAGAGGATGGGTTCAGCCATTTTGCGAAAGTCCTATCTGGAGAACACCTGTATTGCGTGGTTAAAGAAGTATGTGGAATATGGCAGAACCACTCTGGAGAGGAAAGGTACAGTGATGTGATCTGTTACTGTAACTACAGTGGACTTACTTCCAGAAAAGTAATATTAAGCTGTATTACATATTATTTCATTTTAGAGCAGCTACGTAAGTGGAAATATTCCTTATACTGCTGTAGGGTTTTCCATTAGAGGTCCAGCACTCATGTGTATACACTGTACAAAATTAACACAATACTTGGCAAAAGTATTGAAAAAACAAACCAAAAACTTCTCTGTAACTGTGATGGGGTGGTCAACTCTAGACCCTGCAGCTGATTTAGGCCCAGATGCAGAATAGAAAGCTGACTCCACAAATAAACTCAAAATAAACCCCAAAGAAACCTTTTTACTTACATTTTTGTACTTATGTTGTGAGTCAGAAAGCTCAAGACTTGGTTTGGAAACCAAGGGTACAAAAGAGATTAGACTGGAGAAGAGTTTTTACCCAAGTTACCAGCCAGGCCGAGACAAAACTGAACACAGGGGGCTGGGACAGCTCTCTTTAAGTAAAGCTCACACAGGTGGTGCAAATTGCCAGTGATTGCCTCTTAGGCTGCTCTCTGCCTCCCTCTGGTGGCAGCGACCAGTCTAGCAGTGCCTCCTACCCTGGTCGGTTGGCTGCTCCGTGTCCCTTTGGCAGCAACACAGCACCACATTGGCTGCCCCCGACAGGAACTCCTTCACTATAAGAAATATGCATATGCAGCAATGCATCACTTTTGTTTTGTATCCCTGTACTGTTCAGACACTATTTACTCATCAGGACATGGATGACTGGGCTGGGTGTAAACGTCATGTTAATAAACTAGTCATAAGTGATGATTGAGTCACCACTTAGTGAACTGAAATGATCTCTTTTTCATTTCCCCTCTTTTTCTTCCACTCTGTATATATCATTCTCTCTCTCTCTCTCTCTCTCTCTCTCTCTCTCTCCAGTCTCTCCTGAGGTGTCTCTGTTCCAGAAGTACTCTTCTTCTCCAGTGGTGTGTCATGCTACAGGTTTCTTCCCCAAAGCAGTGATGATCTCCTGGCAGAAGAATGGAGAGGATCTGCATGAAGACATGGAGCTCAGAGAGACGCTACCCAACCAGGACGGAACCTTCCAGAAGAGGAGCGTTCTGACTGTCTCACCTGAGGAGCTGAACAAACACAACTACACCTGCATCATTCAGCACAGCAGCCTGGAGAAGGATATAGTGCTACAGGGGGCTCATCGCAGGATCCTGCATGGTAGGAGAATATTTTCATGGAAAATAATAACATTTCATTTTCAACATTTATTTTATTGCCATGGCAGATAACAGATGTCTTGATGTAACTCAGGTGTTTCAGGTGGAGGTTCAGTTGGTGTCATTGTTGGTGCAGTTGTGGTTGTTCTCCTGCTGGTCCTCACTGGCTGTGTTGGGTTGTTCATGTGGAAGAAGAAGCAGAGGATAAAGTCTAGTAAGTGAAGAGGGATGTACATGTTAAGCTAGCCAGATGTGTGTGGGGTAATGCAGTCGCCTCACAGCAAGAAGGGCTTGTGTTTGATTCCCCGGCTGGGCGAATCCAGGGTCCTTTCTGTGTGGAGTTTGCATGTTCCCCCCATTTCTGTGTGGGTTTCCTCCCAAAGACATGCAGTCAGGTGAATTGGAGATGATACATTGCCCCTAGTTGTGAAAATATATGTCTGTATGTCCTGCCTTTTGCCCAGTGACCGCTGGGATAGGCGGCTGCTATTTGTTGAGTAATGTCGGTTTTATGCATTATTTCAGCATTCTCATAATTAATGGATGGGTGGCTTTGTACTAGCCTGAGTGTAAAAATATAGGTTATTCTAAAAAGCTTTTTAACTGTAGTTTTTGTTACTTAAATTTTATAGCATGTAATTCCATTCATTCATCTCTATTTCAGATACGAAACCTGTTGCACTCAATCACACTTCAGGTAATTCAGCCTTTAATAAACTGATCTTGTATTGTTCAATGCTCTTTGTCACCCAGAATGTCAAACTGATGTACATTTCTTTTTTATTTTAGTGGCTGGTCCTGACAGATGTTACTCATCAATCATCTCCACCACTGCATTTGAATGACTGTTTGAATGAATCTGTTGTTATAGACCATACTGATGAAACACAACTGTATAAACATGAGTAGAAAAATGAGACTGATGAGACTGCACTGGTTGCTCCCCTAATATATCATTGCCGTCATGCAAAAACCTTGTATCTCCATTTTTCACTTTCACATAACTTGGAAATTCCAGTTACCTTTTGCATTGTGTTAAAATTTCACAATGAACCGCACAACATTACATTGACTTCCATTACAAGTCAAGAATGTTTTTTTCTCTCCTGTGACTCCAGTGACTATTTTGTAGATACAAGCTTTTGTTCCTATAGCAGGGAACCTAGGAAGATTCCTATATAAACATACACAGGACATCACTTTGTTCTTACTAATTTTATAGGTCAGCAGTAGCGCACAAAGCCTGGTGGATAGATAAAAATAAATCAATGCCTTGTGTATGCTAAATCCTCTTACTCTCTTAATAACCTCTGTCATAACACTGACAAGGGAGACAAAAGAGTTGCACAAGTATAAAAGAGTGTCCTATTTGGGGTGTGTGCAATCTTTGTGACTTTGATAAAGAGCAGTAATTAAAGTCAATGTATACACTAAAGTAACACATTCCAAAAGACAAATATGCAGACATAACAGCCAAAGTGAGCTTGTGGTTGTACCTGTAAGTCAGGATTGCTGTCATGTCACCAATAAGTGAGACACAAATTTAAAAAGTGTCCTAGCAGGGGAATGTGCAATCTTTGTTGTGATTTAGATTTTACATATATATATATATATATGTATATATATATGTATATATATATATAACATTAGATGCTAACTTTACCAGTTGATCTTTACTGAGCTGGAGTTTCAGCAGTGACCCTGAGGTTTTCCAGTACAAAAAGTGTCAGTGGGGTTAATGCAGGAAGAAATGTTAAGAGTTAGACTGATGGTTTTTCAAAAAGGAAGAGGTCCAAATTCACCACAACCACCACAATCGGTTTGAAATGAAGTGTTTCTCTGGGTTTGAATGTGATCAAGATGTGATTAAGGTCTAGACTTTCAGCTTTCAAGGGGTTTGAAATTTCCTCCTCAAATATTATTTCCTCCTCAAAATCCTAAACTTGCATATGAGATCCAGTACCTACACGTTTACTCAAAGAAATTTAGCCAGAAATAACTAAGCGTCTTCTGTCAACAATAAACTCCTCTCTTAGCCTTGGCTTTATTCCAAAAACTCTTAAACTAGCAGTAATTAGACCTCTGATTAAGAAAGCTAACCTTGATCCCTGCAAACTATCAAATTATAGACCTTGAATTTTCCCTTTATATCAAAGATCTTGGAAAAAGCTGTGGCACAACAACTAAGTTCCTATTTGCAAAGGAATCATCTGCATGAAAAATCTCAGTCTGGCTTTAGGCCACATCATAGTACAGAGACAGAGAAAACTGTAAATGATCTTTTACTATTCTCTGACTAAGGAAATGTGTCTTTGCTGGTTCTGCTTGATCTCAGTGCGGCATTTGATACGATAGACCACTCTATCTTACTAAAACCTTGTAGGGGTAACAGGAACAGCTCTTTCCTGATTCAGATCTTACCTGACTGATCACCATCAGTTTGTAAATGTAAACAGCAAATCATCTGTTCTTACAAAAGCAAAGTATGGTGTTCTGTTTTAGGTCTTTGTTATTCACATTATACAACCCCATTTCCAAAAAAGTTGGGACGCTGTGCAAAATGTAAATAAAAACAAAATGTATTGTAACAATATGTGTCCATTTTGAATGTTTGCCACTGTGTTCCATCACCTCTTCTTTTAACAACACTCTGTAAGTGTTTGGGAACTTTGATATAGGATTTCAACTGCTCATCAGTTCGGAGTCACAATGCACCAAATGTTTTCAGTGGTGACAGGTCTGGACTGCAGGCAGGTCAGTTCATCACCCGGATTCTTTTAATATAGATCAATGCTGTTGTGATACATGCAGAATGTGGTTTGACATTGTCTTGCTGAAATAATCAAGGCCTTCCCTGAAAAAGACGTCATCTGGATGGTAGCATATGCTGCCAAAACATGTATCGTTCAGCATTAATGGTTCCTTCACAGATGTGCGGGTCACCCATACAATGTGCACTAATGCCCCCCTATACCATCATGAATACTGGCTTTTGAACTGTGCACTGATAACAAGCTCAGTGGTCTTTCAGCCAGCAAATACTGGTCCCTTGCATAAAGAGATTTTTCCAGATTCTCTGAATCTTTTAATGTTATTATGTACTGTAGATGATGAAAAACAAAAGTTCTTTGCTATTTTATGTTGAGAAACGTTTTTCTTGAATTGTTACACTATTTGATCATGCAGTTTTCACAGAGTGGTGAACCCCTCCTCATCTTTACCTCTGAAAGACTCAGCCTCTCTGAGATGCTCTTTTTATACCTAATTATGTTACTGACCTGTTGCCAATCAACCACCATGTGTTTTTTTAGCTTACACAACTTTACCAGCCTTTTGTTGCCCCCATCCCAACTTTTTTGGAACGTGTTGTTGGCATCAAATTCAAAATGCACATATATTTTTCAAAAACCAATAAAATGTCTCAGTTTCAACATTAGATATGTTGTCTTTGTACTATTTTCAGTAAAATATAGGGTTTAAAGTGATTTGCACATCATTGCAGTTTGCATTTATTAACATTTTGCACAGCGTCCCAACTTTTTGGAAAAATTGCCACAATTATATATTTTGATCTACATATGTACATATATTTCAATATATTGTCATGTATATGCATATATTGACAAGTATTTAAATATTCAAAAATGGCACATTTTTTGCACATATATTTCATTCATATGGCATAGGATATGAGAGTGATATGAGAGTATATATATGTGCACTCTCGTGCAAACAAAATGAGCCAAGCCCAGAATACTAATGGTTTTAACGGATGGTTTTGGCTGGTCAGAGTCCAGATTTAAATCCTATAGAGAATATTTAGTCTCACCTTAAACGCAAACTTGATCGGCAGTGTTTTTCAACTGTTTGAAGCCGTCAATGTTGAATGGAAAAATACTGACTCTTCATCTGTAAAAGACTGCCTGCAAGTTTACACACAAGACTTCAACATGTAAAGAAATCAAAGGGTAAAGCTGCCATACTAACTTACTTCATCTATTTGTTTAATTCTCGCTAACTTAATTTGAATTCAAAGCTCCAGGTGCAGTTAAAATATGTAACTGTGGCTGTTTAAAAGTGAGATTCTGTCCCATAGAGTATGTTGTGTTCTACCCATCCAAAGCCAAAAACAAATGTAATACATGTCGTCGTTGTCTGTTTTCTGTGAATTTGGTATTTACAATAATATTTTACTACAGAGGCTGAAATGGGCTTTGTGAAGAAGTCAAAACAAACGCCTAACATTATTTCAGTGCATCTAATCATCACAGATAAGGCATAAATGGTCCATAATGCCACTTGCTACTCACAGCTACAAAAAAAGTTACCCAGCTAACATTAACTGTTTACTGACATATACGTGCAGCATCACATGCCTGAAAAACAACAATAAAACAGCATCTCTTCAAACTCTCATACTGTATATTTGCAGCATGTAAACTAAAGAACCAACCCTGCCAATATGGTGGAACAATCCCATAATGTAGTGCAGCTACTATTCTGACCAATGGAATACCACAGAAATCCTGATTGGAAAATGATGTGTTGGATATTTTGTTTCCACCAAAACTGAATGAAAGAAGAGCATTTTTACAATAATTCAAACACATCAAGCATGAAGATTCTATGAAGTAAAAATCTGGAAGTGTCGGGAAGTGGGGTGTATCTGAGTGGGGCGGGTGGTAAGACCCTCCCCCTCTTTCAGAGAAAAAATAAGGTTTCAGCTTTGGCACCCACATTGTTTTATTTGCAGTTAATACATGTCCAGAAGTTGAGTATTCTGGACTTGAATTTGCTAAGACGGCTTTGATTCACATCTAGATAAAGCTGCAGATTCACTCAGTCAATCAGTGATTCTGTGTCAAATGCATTGTGACGTATTACAGAGTGATGTGCCCCCTAGAGTTGTCATTTGCTAAAAGCCCATGATATCCAGCTCCACCTTCCTGTAGTTTGCAGTCAGTACTCATTGGGGTGGAAAGGTCTGGTTCTGAAATCTGATTGGCTGAGACGTGCTGAAAGTCATAGTAAAATAATAAATGGCCAAAGCTGAACACATTAGTGATTTCCTATTCCTAATTGTAAATCATGTGGTTGTGACATAAAGCTAAATCACACGGTGATGTTTGGGTTATATATTTATTGTTGACATTCACAGAACAGAGGTTTTCAAAGAAATCTACATTCAGTCATGTGGATCATAAACACGTGACAGATTCCACCACTTCTCAAAAAAATATGTCATCAATTCAAGGCACTTTAACTCATTTCTGTCTCTAATTCTGATGAAGTTGAGTGATTGGAGTTGGAGTGGCAGCTACCTGGAATTCCACATGTATGGCTAACCTAGTGCTAGCACCGCTCTCCTATCCTAGTTAACACTTTAATGTTTAGTAGTTGCTGTTATACTGACAGTGTGGTGCTTGTTTGCCACTTTGCAGTCAGCAGTGGCGCATTTCTTAAAGCTATTTTCCTTCTTCATTCTGAGTTCACTACACTCTCTAAAAAGATGGTTCTACAGTGGTTCCTTAGTAAAGAAAATGGTTCTACATAGAACCATGAACACTCAAACAACCCTTTGTATGATTAAATGGTTCTTTGCATGGTGATGTACAAACCGTCTGTGATTCTGTGCTGATATTCACAATGCAGACAGAATAGAACTGATTCTCTTTGTGTTTATGACTGTTGTGGTCAAACACACTGATCTTGTGTCGGGTCCTCCTACTCCTGAGGTGGTCTCTGAATACAGAACCTGAAAGGCTGGTAAAAACAAGGTGTCTTTAACATCCAAAATACAGGACATGCCTGTTTTAACAAGGTAGTACATTTAAGGCAGATTTAGCTTACATGGTAAAAAATCTAAAACCTGTTGATCAGTTATTCAAAATGATACCTTATACAAATATCCTGAAACAGCGAGCTTTATTTTAGACTATACTTTTGGTCCTGCGTCTGCTTCATATTGTATGTTGTGTAAAACTTTGTTCCAAAACCAGAAGAACGTAGCAAACATTCACTGAGACATTAAAACAATCAAAATTACAAACCTGCTTCAAATACAAAACTGAAAAGAACTCTTAACCTCCAAAAACTGTTTCAGAAGAAATGGCAGCAGGGGCTAATTTGAAGTTCGTGTCAGTAAACACTGCAAAAGCATTAATGCATTAGAGGTACTGATCTTCATGGCAACGACTTGTGCTGTTATTTGTATATCTGTAGTCACAGATATGATTGACCTGCACCCATGAATGTGAACCATCAAAACTTCAGCAAAGAAACCAAAGTTGAGCATTGAGGCTTGTAATGTGAATTACAGAAGCTTATCAAACAAACAGAGCTATTTCCAGCAGACCTGCAGCAATGTAACAGGTTTTATGAGGACTGGAATCATTTTGACCACGCCTCATTTGAAAGACATTTGGGTAAATGAAGTGTGCTTTTACTGATCTCTTCACGAGTCCCATCATCCTTCTTCCGATATGTCTGTCTCTCTGCCGCTAATCTAAAAGGAGAAACATAAAGACGTCAGGACTGTTTCTAGGTGAGGTTTAATATTAGGTTAAAGTTGTGTAGACAGAGCACACATCTGGACTTCAGCAGCTGAACAATGATCAGAGGTGTGCAGCGTCCAAGTACATAAGCAACATTTTGATCAATATGTAATTTTCTGAGTATTTTCAAATGATACTTTCGCTTCTACTAAGAGTGTTAGTGAAGAAATGAATCTACGTTTCACTTTTTTACATTTTAGACATTAAAATTTTGATTCCCAGTTTTTTTGGGGGTTTTTTTTTGTTTAATTTCATTCTGTTACATCAGTGACATCATCAGTACTGCCTTTTGAATGAACACACCTGAGTTTTAAAGTTCAGCAATTTTAAGATCAAGAGTGCAACAAAAAGTGAAGAATAGAGTCTAACAAACTTCAGTTTCTATGCTGATAGAGGCTGGATGGACTAAGAACTTCCACTGCAGTTCTGTAAGTTACTCAGTACTTAAAAGGAACCCCAGCTGGGAAGATGTTTTTACTTTAATGTGGTGTAATTACCTTAAACGTCAAAAATTTGTTGTACAAAAACCTACAAAATGTGCTGTAAAATATTTTTTTCATTATAAAAATGTAAAAATCCAGCTACTGATAGGCTGCTGTTTTGTTATTTTTTGGGGCAGTAACATCAAAAGGTTGGAATAGACCCTTCACTTTTGACCATTGAGCGAGTGCTGCGTAGTTATCTGCTGTTCAGCTTTTACAGACTGAGCCAGAGCAGCACATAACCCAAAAAAACTTATGACAGCAACACTGGCTAAAAATCCCAGGCTGATTATATACTAAGACGTATTATTCAGTAACTACAGGCACTTCAGTGCAAACTAGTTGAGCTATTCTTTGGTTATAGGAGTGTGTAGTAAAACTTTGGGCCTTGGCTATTTAAGGGGTTAGGTAAATGAAGGAAAATGATAAGGCAGAGAGGGGGGCAAAATAAATGTTGTCTATGTGGAAACTGCTCGCCTGTGTTTTCAAGAACTGTATTTTCTTGCCAATGAGAGCAACCAGTAATGAGAGTCCTGATACTAGTAACCCCACCTGTGTCCCCCAGTGTTACTCAGGCTTGAATTAAGTATTTTTGAAGAAGACAACTAGTCAACTATCACCCCATTGATCTGGAGACTGTGTAATTGACCTTTTACCAGAAACCAGAAGCATTAAATGAGTACATAGAAGAAGCTTTAAAGTTGGGTTATATTCATACCTCTATTTCTGCTGCCGCCAGTTTCTTCTTTGTTGAAAAGAAGCTTGGAGCTTGCGTCTCTGCCTAGATTATAGGTTTGAATGCTGTGATGATTTTACCTTACCTTTAGCTCCCGCAGCCCTTGAGTGGTTAAGTAGGGCTTCAATTTTCACTTAGTTAGACCTCAGAAGTGCCTACAACCTCATCAGAATAAGTGAGAGTAATGAATGGAAACCGCATTTGTGACCACCATTGGGCACTATGAGTACATGGTAATGCCATATGGCCTGGCTAATGTCCCCTCGGTGAGTCAGGCTTTCTTCAATGATGTTGATAAGAGACATGTTGGATCCCTAGGTCATCGTCTATATTATCAATACTCTGGTGTGCTCAGACAAATGTCAGACTCGTCCTCCAAAGACTGTTAGAGCGTAATCTATTTGTGAGAGCTGAGGAGTTTCCCAAAACAAAAATCTCTTTTTTAGGGTATGTCCTTGATAAGGGAGGAGTGTGCATGGAGGACAGCAAGGTGAGTGCGGTTGTACAGGGGCCTAAACCACACTCTGTTAAGGAGCTCCAGAGGTTTTTGGGTTTTGCCCATTTTTACAGTGGCTTAATCAGAGGTTTCCGTTCTGTAGCTGAACCATTAACATCAAAGTTGAAAGGTAAAGTGAAAGTTCTTAAGTCGGATATGAGGGCTGAAGAAGCTTTCGAGTCATTAAAGAATCACTTTGTCTTGGCTCTCGTTCTAACTTTTTAGTGTTAACTGACCACAGAAAACTTTAGTACATAGGGAAAGCCAAACGCCTCAACCCTAGACAAGCCCACTGGGCATTATTCTTTATTCCATTTAACTTTACTGTTACTTATCCATGTCCAGGATGCAAGAATACTAAAGCAGACGCCCTATCCTGACTGTGGGAAGCAGAAAAGTCCTGCACTACTAAGGAAGGTATTTTAAACCCAACCTGTTTTGTAATCTTGATCTTGTGGGACATCATGGAGATTCATAGAGAATAGGACAACGAATCTCCTCCTCCTCCCATCGGACCAAGAATTTGTTCCAGTCCCTTTACGAGGGAAAGTTTTAGAACATGTTCATACCACAACCAGTTCTGGGCACCCGGGTATTCAAAGAACTATCCATCTAATTAAAAATGAGTTTTGCCAGTGATTTTGCTGGAACTCTGCCCATTTCACAGTGACCATGGTCTCACTGACTCTGTAGCTGATCTTCCCAATTCACAAAGTTACGCTATTGGGTTTGTGACTATTGATTGTTTTTCTAAGGCTTGTGGATTGGTCCCTATGAGAAAACTTCCAACAGAGATGGAAACGACTGAAGCGCTATTTCCCTCCATGCCACCAGAGGTCACCTTCACCCGAGTTCTAATCTTATTTCCCCCTTGTTTGTCATTAATGGCCATTTTGAAGTGTATCTAAACCCTGTGGACTGTAGCTTACTTATAAAGTCATCAGCATTTCTTAGCCTTGTGTTTTTCTGATTTCTCACCTGTTTTTTTTACTTTATTACATTTGTCACTGACTAAAATTTGTGTCTTATGGACTCGTCTTTAATATGCCCCACATTATTGGTTTTGTTGTTATTCTGCTTTTGCTGACATAAAATATTTTGTGTCATTTTAACATTTTCAGGATATTTACCCCACACTGAAGTCTATGATTCTGACTAGCCAGGGTTCCTTTAAAGTAGTTTTTGAGCTGCTACTTTTTTTTTTGAAAAGTAATTTTACTGCATTCATTATTTCATCAACGTAATAATACTTTTACTGCAGAATGAGTTTAGGCACCTCTACCTACGTCAATTTATGAGTCTCCCTCAGAGGCTGTAAAATATGCAAACATTTTAAACACGTAAAATATTCTGGTAAAGTAGAATAAAACAATACAGATATATAGTTAATTCATTTCATTAATACAACATAAATATTATAAAGGCTCACTTACAATCACTGGAGTTTCCTGGAACAGTTCTGAAGCTGATGTAAATAAATGTAGAATTATTATAAGATGTGTGTTTGGTACACTGGTCTATTTCATAGTAGGAAATTACATAACATAAAATCACATCAAACAAAATCTGAGAAAAACTAGTGCTGAGAACAAAACTGGTTCAGCATCACAGTATCCTCGATTTTAATAATCCAGTCTACTTTTAAACCTCTCAACTCTGCTGTAAAATTGTTGAGATACAGTATAAAATTCACTATCAAGAATCCACAAGTGGATCCTCTATCTTCCTCTCTTACCAGACTGCTGCTTCTTCCAGATGAAAAGTCCAGCACAGCCGATGAGGACGAGGACCACGACTGCACCAATGATGATACCGACTGACCCTCCACCTGAAACACCAAAGAATTATATCATTGTACATTTCCATTAGTTGCATCATAAACACAGCACAGCTACTGCATTTTACAGTATAAAATTATAGTGAATTCACAACACTATAGAATAGTTATTTCACATAAGTAGTCCATAAAAAAGCATTAGATACATAATTAAATTCTAAGAACAGGTTGAGATTATTCACACTGGTTTGTGAAGTAGGTTAGTTAAATAGTTCAATCCCTCTTTAAGGGGAATTGCACTGATTTTACAAAATTTCTGCATAATTAAGTGGTTAAGATGTAAACAGAGTCATTCAGAGTGGTTTGGTGTGAAACGCTCTGATCTAGAGAAACTTACTGAGTCAGAATTGTACACAGTGGTGGTGATAGGAACCAGACGTCCACCTCTAAAAGCTCCCTCACTTAAAGTTTTTACAGGAAATGGTTATGAATTCACTGCCTGATGACTGAGACACTGTTTTATAGATTTTATCCTAAAGCTTTTTTTTTTTTTTCAATCCATTCATGTCATCGAAGTACATGCAGGCCATTAGTAACCAAAAAAAACGTAATTTTTTTTCAGATTTATCACTATTTTACCATCACCAATATTCCATATAAAGCTCAGAAGACATGTGTAGGTTCACTGGTGGGTTTGGATAGTTGTCATGTGTATAGTGAGCAAGGCAGCTGGATATAGGTGCGAGCAGACTTTGATAAACAACACAAACTAGCAAAAATACAAAGTACAAGTTAACAAACTACAAGGTCTAAACAAAGCAAACAAAACACGAGGTAGACACACAAACACTACATGTGACAAAGTGACAAGCAGACCAGACAAACACTGACTGAAACAAAGGGCTTGATAAAGGCTACAATGAATGGGGAACACCTGGGAGAGGGAGGAGACAGAGACTACAGACAGGAGAGGATACTAATAGGGAAGGCGGGGAAAGGGCGGAGCACAAGAACCAAAACAAAAACACAAGCACATGGCAAAAAGCACATGGCTACAAAACAGAGCAAGTAACAGACACAGGAACAAAGGGTTCCATGTGTTGTAGTCATGGTGACCCCTGGTTCCTATCACCACCACTCTGAATCACTCTGTTTACATCTCAAACACTGAATTATGCAGAACAAGTACACAGTATTGTACCTCTGATTTTTGGGCCATTTTTGACCAACTTTTTTTGTCCGAATCAATGTTTATAAAGATTTGTCTTGTAACTGGTTGGTTTCTCTGGGTGGCTGTAAGGATTTTTTGAATTGTCTATGGAGAAAGTGAATGGGATTTTTACTTATGAGAAGGGGGTGGTGTTATGGCATGTTTCATTATATATATATATATATATATATATAGTGTGTGTGGGCAAATTACAGTGTGTCCTTTGCAAATAATGTGTAAATAAGGAATTTTATTTATATATTTGTTTCCACATACTAAAGCTGATTCATCAATTAATTCATCAATTTACCTCTTTAAATGTTGTACAATCTGCACTCATTTTTATGAAACTTTAATAAATAAGAGCCAGTAACTCTCAACATGAAGTTTTTAATTCCATTTAGAAGCAGATTCTCCTACCTGACATGACTCTGCATTCAGACACCTTCAGCACCGTCTCCTTCTCCAGGCTGCTGTGCTGAATGGTGCAGGTGTAGTCGTGTTTGTTCAGCTCCTCAGGTGAGACACTCAGAACGCTCCTCTTCTGGAAGGTTCCATCCTGGTTGGGTAGCGTCTCTCTGAGCTCCACGTCCTCATGCAGATCCTCTCCATTCTTCTGCCAGGAGATCATCACTGCTTTGGGGAAGAAACCTGTAGCATGACACACCACTGGAGAAGAAGAGTCCTTCTGGAACAAAGACACCTCTGGAGAGACTGGAAAAAGGGGGAGGCAGTTATCATTAAGATTGGAAAGTCATTTCAATAACATCCACTAAAACAATCCCATACATGTATATATATACATGACTGCTGGGAAAGAGAAAAATATACGTATAGCAGCAAAACATTATATGCGTATTATTATAAACTACTTTGGATGTAACAAGTATGTAATGTACAGAGTTAAAATCTAATTTAATTTTAATTTAAATAACAATAACACCATTTCCACAGTTCAGATATATCATGTATTCATGTCTATTTTATTCAAATTCATAAAGACACAGAAAGTAGAGAAACAGAGAGAAAGAGAGAGACACACAAACAGAAAGAGAGCTAAACATTAAGATGTGTTAATCATATCAATATGCAGAAAGATCTTTGTAGCTCATATTATACTAGTTTAAAGTGATTTTATCAAAACCCTTTTATCATGTAGTTGTTCAAGCACGTATCTTAGAACTAAATAATTTATCAATATAGTGAGATGTCACTTGATAAATCACTTAAAAAGTACAAATGTTAATCTTATAATAAGCTTACAACAGTCTCAACATGAGAAATAGTAGACATATTGACTAGATTTGAGACAAGTTGCCCAGTTACCACTTTTTTGCAGTGTAATGTTACTTTTCTTCTGATGACTTTGATCACATACTTTACCTTTCCTCTCCAGAGTGGATCTGCCATAACCCACATACTTCTTTAAATCCTCAATACACACAGTCTCCAGGTACTTTTTCCTTTCCTGCGCGTCACTAGTAGTTTCCCACCTCTGTTTGGTAATAACAGCTTTAACGTTGGCTGCAGTCCAGGTTTCAGTGTTCAGATCCAGACTGAGGAAGTCTTCTCCATCATAACCGTGCTGCATGTATCCACTCCTGGTTCCATCATCTTCATGCAGCTCACAGCCGTACATGAACTGCACTGTATGAACTCCTGCACACACACACACACACACACACACACACACACACACATACAATAAATACACACAGTACTTTAAACACAACACAGAATTAGTACACCACAGCATTCACTACCACTCTTCTCCATTCTACACAGTCCTTATTAACATATCTCTGTTCTCGGAACAAAACCTCGTATCTCCAAAATGGTAACTTTACAGGAGAAGTAAAAAACATGCTTTACTTTTAATATAAATCGATGGAACCAGACATTTTCCCAAGCAATTTAAGGCTGTTTCTTTTGGTCCAATCATCATGAAACTTACACACAATGCAAAGGCCAACAGACATTTTCAAATGTCGAAAATGGAGATACAAGGTTTTGTTCTGACAGCAGCGATATTCATAAATCAGCACTGCACTAATCAACAGTGTTCTAAAGCAGCCGTTTTCAAAGTTATTTAGTCTAAGGCCTCCTTTTGTGGATAGAAAGTGCCACTTTGTCCACACTTGCTCCCCTCCTTCATTTCACTTAATGAACAAGAAGCATGTCTTACTGGAACCTCGTCCAGTTTTATATCTTTCACCACAGCTATTGCTGACTTGGCATGTTCTATGACATGTCCTGTGATTACTCATATGCAGATTTATACACTGACAAAATTTAAAATGACTAGGAAGAGCTACAATTTCTTACATTTTTCTGAGACCAACTTAGCCTCAGCCTCAACACACTGCACAATGATACCATGAAGAAAAAAAAACACAAAACATGTTCACCAAAATCACAACGCATGCTTTACAAATATGATGCACATTCAGCACCTTTAAAACATGCGCTATATTTTACAAACACACTGGAAGTTCATAGACGCAACATTAATGTGGATATAACAAACTTCAGAAAGACTGTTAACCTAATTACAATGCAACAGAGTTGTTTTTGAAGGACACTCATATTTATGTTTTCAAAATTCTACAACAGAAGCAACATTCGGTAACACTTTACTTGAAGGGTGTCTACATAACACATTCATAACACCTTACATAAACACTTCATAACATGCTCATGAATGTTTAAATCAACATTTACAAAGCATACATGTTTTACATGATATTAATATGGACCACTATGTTATTTTTCATTTTATTTATTTAAATAAAGTGCTCATTTTTTATTTTGAAAAAATATATTATTTTCACTAAAGCACCATATTTCTTGATCAAGACCAGAATATTAAATTGGTGAAAGTGATGGCTGAGACTGAGACAACCCTAGACAAATACCAGCGAGTACAAGACAAATATAAGAGAATAACAAATGTCATTCCTGATGATAGCCTGGAGAAGCTGGCATTATTAGACTGTCTGATGGGCCCTTTTCCCATTTCTGTGTCTTTTCTGCTGGTAGTTAAGCTGCTTCTGCTAAAACAACCACAATAATTTATGGCCAAGTAGAGCTCAGACAGGCTGCCGAAATGTTCGAGCTTGAAGCAAAAGCAACCTAACCTCAGTTTCCCAGCCAGCAAAGAGCAGTAGAAAAATGAGCTTGTGCAATTAGGAAGAATGAATTAATAAACTGCTGACTAACGTTAAACTGAAGGCAGTTTGCACTTTAAAGTTGATGCTGTTTCCAGCCACTTTCACTGGAACAGTTTTCATTCCCCCTCAACAACTGTCACCAGTTGAGAGAGCAAGCACTTTGCAGGAAGCAGATGTATGTTCACTGGAGCGGACGGTTGAAAAATGCCTCCAGTGGCGTTACAGATCATGACGATGCAGCACGCCCCTCTACCAGTATGTGTGCCAACTAGTTTATTATTAGCAAGCTGTCTCAACATCTCCAGCTAACACGGCTAATCAACCAGTTTGGTTATTGTGGTTGGTTTTATAGGAAAACTGCAACAAAATGCATGTAATAAAAAAGTTATTATGTAAATCAACCCAAACCAACAGTGTTTAAGGATATGAGTGTGTTCATGTGTACCGTGAGTCTGATTGAAGCGCTGCATTAGAACAGCCATATTGAATTTTAAATTCTCCTGATGATGCTGCAGAACCCAGGTGTCTCTGTTCCAGTAATCTGGATCATCAGCATCAATCTTCTTCATCCACTCTGTCTTTGGGATCATCTTCCTGATGTTACTGTCGTAGTACACAATCTGCACTCCGTCCACCAGACCAACAGCAGTGAACATTGGGAAATTTATTCCTGGTGTGACTCCAGTGTAGAAATACTGCAGTGAATGAGTGACTGAGGAAAAGAAAAATAAGCACTGAAATGAGTCGTAAGAGTTTTGAAGAAGTGAACTTGCTTCTAAGTGATTGTAAAAAACTGTAAAACTGTATAAAACCTGCCTCAAAGTCTCTTTCATAACACTTTTATTTATTTGTTTCTTCCTGATTAAACAATGAATCAGACACGTTATTTGTCTGTACTGTTACTCTTCAGACTATTATGCAAGGACACACCAAACACTTTTCCAAATGCAGTTTCCTTAGAGCTTCTTAGACGGACTGCAGACGTTTATTTTCTACGTGCAGTACATGCTGTGCCTGACCTCTTAACAAAAATAATGAGTTAAATAACTGTATGCAATGCATTTATCATAAAAAAAATCCCAATAGGTAATAAAATTCAAATGAACAGGTAAAAAAGCTACAAGGCCGACCTTTGTATTCATACGCTTTATGTCTCTGTGGCTTGTGTTCTGTAGATTTTCATGTCATGTAAAACATGTTTCATGCAGGAACAGTGCCACGTTCTGCAAGTCAAATGAAACAGCCTCAACTAGCAGATAGTAAAAAGAGCTTCTCGTTGCATGCTGTCTCTGGTAATGGGATTTTCTGGCCTGTGTATTGTTCATTACAGTATAACTGTCAGTGTTTCATTTCATTAGAATGTTATATGCACTCAGTACAGCAGCTAATTTCTAAATTGACCTGAAAACAAGCTTTATTAGCTTCTAATATTGAGGTCAATTCTTTGGGAATATTAGGGATGCACATTGTTCTATAGGACAAATCTCATAGCAGCAAAGTACTTATTTCTGCAACAGGATTTACTAATATAGGATATGCTAACTCTAAAACTTATTTAATCGAGACATTGGAAAAAAAAGTTGATTTTATTTTATTTTTTTTTTGTAAACTGATTTGAATGAAAAGCATCCTGCACAGTCTCTCAGTTTGCTTGTTTTGTGAGGAGCAAAGGACCGTTTTTTGAAATAAGTGATCTGCAGGGAGATTCACTTGAAAGAGGCCCCGAATATTCTGTAATAACTCTCTCTAGGACAAAGCAATCTGAACAAAAACAACATTCAATGAGCTCCTCAGTATATGGAGCTTCAAACAAGCCAGGATGCCCCTGCGTTGGAGCGATGAGTCAGGCGCTGGACAGCTGTCGCGATACCCCCATACCCCTTCATGTGCCTGGCAGAAAACAGAGATCACTTCCAGCATCACATGTAATGCAATCAATTACACAGACGTCAAGATATGCATCGGATTTTTTTGGTTCCGATTACTTCATCGTAATAAGAGCTACAACAGAATATTCAGGGCCTCTTTTGAGTGAATCTCCCTGTATATTCTGCAAATATATACTTTTTGATATACATGCAGCTGTTGATGTGCTTTATTAGTTTTCAGCATCTTAAAACCTTGGCCTCATTCCTGTTCCCCAAAAAGAGTTCCCAAAAAAGTTTAAGATGATCATCTTTAAGATGATTTAAAAACATTCCTCTGCTTTCCTGCCGTGAGCATTTCTTTTTCTGACAATTTTCAATTTCAATTTTTCAAATAATCAAGATCAGGGATTCTCAACCATTTCTAAGTTAATGCCCACCTATTTATCACTAGAAAGCATGAAGGCCCATAGAGGGAAAAAAACACTTAAAAAGTCCAGACCATAAAACTTTTGAACTTTTCAACAGCGTAAAGATCAGATTGTCCATTTGAGTCTGATCACAAAAATCAAATTTATTCTTGAAAAAATTTAAGAAAAAAAAATTTAAAAGATGACCAAATACATAAGGCATACAAGTTATTATTGTGAGAATAAGTTAACAATACTTTGTCAAGACCAAGTTCAAATACAGCTTAAACCGCATAATGCAAAACAGGTGTGAACAGAGAAACAACTACTACAGGGGCAAAAGTGACCCATGGAGGCATGGGGCTCCTTTTTGGCTTACATCAAATACCCAGTTACTGCTTCTCCCTCAAATCCAGCTCCTCTCCTCCATGACCCAGAAATTTATTGTGTGATAATTGAAGTTCTTTTTCAAATCCTGGATGAGACAAACTTCTGCTGAAGCAGCTTTGAGAGAGGATACAAGGTAACAAGAAGTCTATTCAATATCCATCCAGATATTTTATTTAAGGAAATAAGAAGTTCAAGTTTTGTCTCGCTTATGGAGGCCGCTTTACTCTTATGGGAGGTCAAGGACCCCTAATTCCCCTCTAGATCAGTAGATCAGCTTAGATCAAGAGTGAAAACAGACTCACCTGCTGATGTTAGACAAATATTGTGGAAAAAACAGGTGAGGAAAAACATGCATTTCTTTATCAATGAACTGTAATCCATTTTCAGCAGTGCAGATATTTTTTTTTAAACTTTTTTATTTACATAATTAATTTGTCCTGCATCAGTTTAAATCCTCCTTGCACAGTAAGAACTCAGTGTCACAATGTCTCTGTGAAGCCTCCACCCATGTCTATCTGCTCCTTTTTTGGCTATTCCCCAGTCTTGTTTCCCAGGTACCGCATTTTAGTCTCCTCCCTAGTGCCACCTTTCTATTGGTGTTTCCCGGCTGTGTCCAGTAGTGTCCATCTGCAGAGCCGCAGTACTGCAACTTTAGTCCCCACACTTTCAGACCTGCACTTTCAGCTCCCTGCGCCTCTGTTCAGGAGCTGCAGCTGCACTTTCAGCTCTCATGAGTGCGTGAGCATCTACTGCACAGTCTTATTAGATGAGAGGAAACAATTTTTAACAGAGAAACTATTTGTATTTATAGTAACATTTTTGGTTCTTTCAGTGATAAAGTATATTTTATTCTTTTTTTTGAAAGAGTCAGTGTAGGTTACAGAAGGAAGATCCATAAATGACGCTACACAAACTGGCAACCGATAAAGAAAACTTTCTAGATCACCAGAGAGTCAAACTCACAGCAGTGCTTTAGGTGGGCTGTGGCGTAGCTATGGTAACAAGCAGTAAATAAAGAGACAGTGGCCACATTTTTGCTCATTTTGTTTTTACATTCTCAAGAGAAAATGTAAATTCCTCTGACTGCATGATTCTGAGTAACTGTAGACATTTGTGACAGTATGTGTGAGCCACAATCAATATTATCAAATTTACTGAATAAATCAGTAGAGAACAGCATGTTTTCCAGCGCTGGATCAGAGAATTTCTTGCAATATTGAAACTGGCTCTGACTGGATGAGAACTATGTAGCATAAATCTTTCGGATGGAAACGTATCTATAGGCACTTGTGCGACAGTTAAACTAGGCTTGCTTAGTCTTGTTTCAAGTATTACCATACACTCATAAAACAGAACATACACATGATAGCAAAGCTTCTCAGAGAAAACTATACTTACAGCAGCAAAAGAGTAATATCAGTAATACTTCAGCTTCATCTGTTACTTTAGAGTTGACTAATATGTATTATGGCCTATTATTATCTTTTTGCAAGTAATCTTTAAAACAGCTACAGTAACAGATCAGATCACTTTATCTTTCCTCTCCAGAGTGGACCTCCAATAAGCCACAGACTTCTTCATAGCGTCTATACATTCAGCATGTTTTTAGGTGAGGTATTGATTTTGTAGTGGAAATCTGAAGTGTACTCAGATCTGTGTGTAGTCTTTCTGATGTTACTGTCATAGTACACAAACAGCTCTCCATCCACCAGACCAAAACAGTGAAATTTGTAGATTTATCGCACAGAGTTGGAAGCTAAAAAAGACTACAAAAATAGATACTGAAATAGATGAACAGGCTCCAATGAAACCAAGTAATTTTCTTATTTAGAATCAGGAGACACTGACTGTACAGTTCATTTATAACTGATGGTGCTGTTTTTTTCTGATTCTGTTTCCATTACTGTGCATATTTGCTTGATGATGTAGACTTGATGTAGACTTATTTTAAGCTAACAGGCTTTAAAGGGGAATTCCACCAATTTATCAAAATTTCTGTATAATTAAATGGTTAAGATGTAAACAGAGTCATTCAGAGTGGTTTGGTGTGAAACGCTCAGTTCTAGAGAAACTTACAGAGTCAGAATTGTTCACAGTGGTGGTGATAGGAACCAGACGTCCATCTCTAAAAGCTCCCTCACAGAAAGATATTACATGAAATGGTTATGAATTCACTGACTGATGACTGAGACACTGTTTTATGTATAGTTTTGAGAAGTTTTGATGGAGAGGCACATGCAGGAAGTTGTGAGGCAAAATAGTCCCCAAAGAAAACATATTTCTCAGATTTACCACAATTTCCCTAGTAATCTAGTCCTTCCTTCATGTTCACCTATATGATAATATAGGATAACTGCCAGTGCATCTTCCAGTTCAGCTCCCAAAGTTTCATCACTGCTATTTTTAGCTGAGCTGAATTTTAGCTGTCTGTTGTTTATCAGTTATTCAGTGAAGGTGACCGTCCAAGATTTATTATAACTATTTAAGCACTGAATATGTGTGTTCAATAATATAAAAACTCCAGCAGCACTGCTGTGTCTGATCCACTCGTACCAGCACAACACACACTAACACACCACCACCACGTCAGTGTTACTGCAGTGCTGAGAATGATCCACCTGCTCTCTGGGGGTCTTGTGGGGGTCCTGACCACTGAAGAACAGGGTAAAAGGGGGCTAACAAAGTATGCAGAGAAACAGATGGACTACAGTCTGTAACTGTAGAACTACAAAGTGCACCTATATAGTAAATGGAGCTGATAAAATAGACAAGGAGGTGAACTTAATGAAGTGACCAGTTGATGTGTACACACACACACAAGCACAAACACACACATGCGTGCGTAGATGTACTATAAAATATTCCTTACATAGAGCTCAACATAATGGAATTATGCACCATAAAATGTATGATGCATGCATATTGTTATGGCCAACTTATTAATGACAGAAATGTAAATGTGTATGTAACATTTATTAAAGACTAAAAGCATAATCAAGAAAACATTTCTATGGGTAAATATAAAAGTAACTTTTAGACAGGGCAGTGATGTGTCCAGATCCAGTGTGCTCAATTCCAGAGTGTGATCCAAGGATCCATACAAAGGGATCTCCTTTTCTCTCGTCACTTCATATCAATCACCTGGAGAGACAGAAGAAACACAGAGGATGGTTGTTTAACTTTTTATTAGGTAAAGGATGAAGAAATATGCACATTCGAGGCAGGGTAACAATCTTCTGGTTCTGGTCCTTCATAAGCTCCATAAACATAAGATTATGCTTGTCATAAACAGTGACAGGACCAACAGATGAACTCACATCAATGGGTCAAGGCTAGAGTTTTCTTGTCAACTGCAGAGTACGCCCACTGGTGTCGATAAAACGTCTTAGAAAAACAACACACAAAATGTTCAGTTACATCAGGGCCTACCTGCATAAGAACAGCACCCACCCCAGAATCACTGACATCTACTGCAAGACAAAAAGGTTTATGGAAATCTGAGGCAAGCAACAGTCAGTCAGTCAAAGGAACAACTGTGGCAAAGTTCTTGCAAAATCCCCAATAATACACAGCCATACTTAAAAATCAAATTCTCTGTGACCCTTGGGCACAGGTAAATTACAAATTGCCTCAACCTTAGCATCAACAGGACTCCCCTGTCCATGTCCCATGATTTTCCCCAAATAAGTCACTTTAATCTTTCCAAATTCACATTTTGCAAGGTTTAGTTCATTAGCTGCTTGCAGTTGTGTAAAGAGGTCTTCAATTTGCCTAGTGTGCTCTTCCCATGTACAGCCATACATGACCACATTATCCGAGCAAGTTTCACGTGTGCAGTCCCAACAACACCTGATTCACTAAACAGTGGAATGTAGTCGGTGCCTTATGCATCCAAAATACCACAACCTTGTACTGTAAAAGCTATTGGGGTGACAAAAGCAGACAATTCCTTTGCACAAGCAGTCAATGGTACCTGCCAGTAATGTTTTAACAGATCAAATGTACTTACAAATGTGGCCAGTCTCCATAAATACAGTCATCTAATGTATCAAATAATCTAATCCATCAAATAATGGATCGCAGTCAGTGTTTGTCACTTAGGTAAGTATCCTATAATCAACCCAAAACAGTACCTGCCATCATGCATCTTGTTTTTTACTGGACTGACAGGATTAGCATGCTTTTTGATAGACTGTGCTAAGCCCACATCAATATCATGCTCTATAGCAGAAATGAAGAAGCAAAAGATTTCACCAGCTCGACAACATCACTTTTCTTCTGTTCTATTGAATTTGAGGTATAGCCAATTTGGTTTGATTTTCGGTATTAAGACCTTCAACTACTCATGAACATTTACACTATCACACTATTCCAACCAGGGGTTATAACAATCAAGCCTTCACCTAACTTAGAATACTGATTAGTGATTAAGCCAACAGGTACACAAGGTATGGAAGAATGATACGGCTTAAACAAAGTTACCATGATAAACTTGCACCTTCTTCCACTGATATGGTGTATTCTACACCATATTCAAGTAATTCTGTCCTGGAAGAATCTTAGCAATGATATACAGACCAGCAAACTAAGCTTGAAAGGAACTGCTTAAAACAAGTAACAAAGCCAACACCTGATCTCCTAGTTCAAAATTGAGCTTTCGGATTAAAAAGACACTACATTTTTATCTGAGCCTTTCCCATTTTTTTTTAACTTGATACAACCTGTAATAAAAACCACTTTCGTAAACCAACACATTCTCTGGAGGACCTGCAGTACTCCAATTATCATCTGCAACTGCAGTTGTTACGCCCGAGAGGGGGAATGATGGAGAATATGAGTTTTACAGCAAACACAGGACACGAAGTGTACTGCTCACAGCTGCATCACTTTATAAGTTGTTTGATATTATGTATAGAATTAGGATTCATTAAACTCTTTATAGCGCATTAGAAAAGCATACGCTGTTCTTGTGCTGAGCTAACACACATACATACACATACATTCACTTCACAACTTTTCAAAGGAAAATGCTAATTAAATACAGAAGCTCTCAACTAGTTCACTTTTAGCTTTTAAACTCACTTTTAGCTTAGCACAATCACGAGTAGCCAAATTTTAATACTTTCCCCATATTTCCCACAGCCTTCACTTACACAGAACAATAGAACCTAATTAACTTGGTTTTTAAAGCTGTTGAACTCCATATTTCTCAATTTAGCTCTGTATCAGTCACATTTTGAACACAAACTAGAGCAGCACATCTATATATCACAACAGACTTGGCAATAAACAACAGGCAGGTTTGCATTGTTTAGCTGAACTACCCAGCTTTTTAACATTACTCATTCCATAAGTATAGCTCAGTTTAAATTACTAAAGAACAGTAAAGTAGTTTCCATACAAAATACGAACAGTGAAAATAAGAAACTTACAACAGTTATACAAGCCTCTTGTTAAATGAGCATATAACTCCTTAGAACGAAGCTGGGTAGCTTATTTTTCTCCTTCCCTGGTCCTTTCACCAGGTCAATGAGCTAGGCTAGTGACTCGCATTTTAGAAACGTCACATAAACACGGAAAATTTGCTATTAAAACCACAGTGAAACAAGATTTCACAAACAAGGCCGCTTCTTTAAACACCATATTTGCAATTTTCTTAAAATATTTCGTACCTGAGAGGGGGAATGATAAAGAATATTAGTTTTAGAGCAAACACAGGACACGAAGCGCGCTGCCCGCAGCTGCATCACTTTATAAGTGAGGCAAGCCAAACGTTCATTCTCTAGGTTCCCGCGCTCAGTCTCAACTAATCGCACATCAGTGACAGGCTCGACCAATCGATCACACAATAATGGCTCATATAGAGAAATGCAGTGTTTTATCAGTATCAAAACAGTTAGAAACACGCTTTTTCTTTCTTTTCTTCTTTGAACATACTTTTTTTTTCTTGCATCATTATCAAAACAGAAACATACTTCTTTCTTTTAAAGGGCGTCACACAGTCGGCCCTCAAACTGTGAGAGCAAACCAGTTCATTTGGGCTAATACCTCCTGCACTACCTCACGAATAGCAAGTAGTAACCAAAGGAGACCCTCCTCTCAATCAGCAACGAGTTCCACACAATAAGATCTCAAAAATGGCTTGAAAGTCAGAGGAAAGCACTCCATGGAACCTAACCAACTGCATAACAACCCCACTGGAACACTCTAACCAGAGTTTACTCTTTTTCAGTGATCCCAGAACACGATTACTTAGCCACATTTCATATAAGACTCTTTCCTCCATGATCCCAGCTCCTGTTATCCCTTGGATAGAACTCACAGGCGCAAACCATTTCTCAAGCACCACCCACTGGCCTTACACTACTACAGCAAGCCAGAAGAGGCACAAAGGATAAATACCATGAGACGTAGAGTTTTAATTGAATGCTGAGTTAAAGAGATACATTTTTAGATGCTTCTTGAAAGTGAGCACTGAGCTTGACTGTCTAATAAAAGGTGGAATTGAGTTCCACAGTTTAGAAGCAGAATAACTGAAAGAGTCTCTCCACGTTTTCTGTATTTTACTGAAGGTGTTTGTAGGTCAGTATCTGCAGATCTAAGATCACGTGCTGGGACGTAAACAGACAGACACTCTGTGATGTAAGTGTGCTTTAAGGTCATTTAGACTTTTAAAAACTTGTAGCAGAACTTTAAAATCTATCCTGAATGATACAGGTAGTCAGGGCAGTTCTTTCAAAACGGGACTGATCTGATCTCTCTGTGTTGTTTTTGTTAGGATGCTGATGCATTTTGTACGAGTTGCAAGGGATGTATTTTTTTTCCAGTAAGAAGATCATTACAGTGATCAACTCTGCTGTAACAAATGCATGAACAGGTTTCTCTGCGTCGTTCTGAGATAGAAAAGGCATTCTCAAATGATAAAAGCTACTTTAGTGACTGCGTTTACATGCAGGATGAAACAGAGCTCAGAGTCTGAGATCACACCCAGGTTTCGTATTTCAGTTTTGGTACATGAAGCTAAAGACTAAAACTAAAGTTTCTCCTAAAGAATTTTTCACTGAGTTTCTGTGCCAACGATAAGTATTTGGCTTTTTTGTGATTTAACTGTAGAGAACTTTGCGACATCCACTGAGAAATATCTGACACACAGCTGGTCAGTCTGTCTACAAAGTCTTGATCTTCAGAAGGAATAGAAATGTATAGCTGGGTGTCGTCAGCATAGCTATGAAAATTAAGATTATGCTTCCTAATGACATCACCTACAGGTAGAATGTACAAAGAGAAAAGCAAAGGCCCTAAAACTGAACCTTGAGGGACTCTTTTTGTGAACTGCCTATTACCTAAATAAACCATTCTAAAACTGTGCTGGAGAGGCCGACCCAGCATTCAAGACACTGGATTAAAGTCTTGTGGTCAACGGTATCAAAAGCTGTTCTAAGATCTAATAAAGCCAGAATAGAAGGATTTTGTGCATCAGTGCTGAGCCTGAGTTCAGAACGAAAGATTAGAACGAAAACCTGACTGAAACTTCTCATATAACTTGTTTGATATTAGATATTAGTTATATAAAACAACTTTTTCTAATACTTTACTTAAAAAAGGCAGGTTTGAAATAGGTCTACAATTATTTAATACAGAAGGATCCATGCTACTCTTTTTTAGCAGAGGCTTCACCAAGGCAGTTTTAAAAATATCTGGAAAAGCACCTGTTGACAGAGATGATAAGTCCAACACAGCCACTGAGGATGAGGAGGAGAACAACCACAACTGCACCAGTGATGACACCAACTGATCCTCCATCTGAAACACCAGAGTTACACCGGGACATTTTTAATCTGACACATCAATAAAATAAATGTTGAAATTGAAACACAGTTTACTTATTCTCCTACCTGACATGACTCTGTGATCATACGCCTGTAGCACCGTCTTCTTCTCCAGGCTGCTGTGCTGAATGATGCAGGTGTAGTTGTGTTTGTTCAGCTCCTCAGGTGAGACAGTCAGAACGCTCCTCTTCTGGAAGGTTCCATCCTGGTTGGGTAGCGTCTCTCTGAGTTCCACGTCCTCATGCAGATCCTCTCCATTCTTCTTCCAGGTTATGTTCACTGCACTGGGGAAGAAACCTGTAGCATGACACACCACTGGAGAAGAAGAGTTCCTCTGGAACAGAGACACCTCAGGAGGAACTGGAGAGAGAGAGAGAGAGAGAGAGAGAGAGAGAGAGAGAGAGTAAGCAAGCAAGTTTATTCATATAGCACATTTAAATCAAATTACTTTACAATTAACAATCTCATTTACCTTAACACACTCCTTAACCAGTACAAACCGTTCAACAGTTACTTGTCAGTTGGTAGAGTCTTCTCTGTTAATTACTGCCAGTATTTCACGATATTTAACACTGTTTTTCACTGTAAAATGCTGTATTCATCATTTTATTGTAAAAACAACTCATCTTCTGTCACGTTTCCCTCCAGCATGGCTGGAACTACAGCTGACACTGCTGCCTCAGACTACAGTTCCCAGAACCCCTTCGCTGCCTCATGTGACTCAGGCCTCAGCTTCTCCAGACTACTAATCGCACACACGTGTTCATCATTACCTGCCTGTGTTAGTTTAGTATATAAGCCCGGGCTTTAGTATAGTTCATTGCGAAGTATTGTCTCAGCATGAACATACCGAGTGTGTTCCTTGCCTGTTTAGCAGTCTCGTGTATGACCTATTTTTCTGTTCTGACCTGGATTTTTGCCCTTTTTGCCCTTTTGTCTTGTTGTGGATCCCTGTTTTTTGACCTTTTGCTCTGGCATTTTGACTGTGATTTTGGATCATCCTGCTGTTATTAAAGATCTTAACTGCAGCCTCGTCTGCGAGCGTCTGATTCCGTCTGCCAACGTTACACCTTCAAATATCGTTTGTAATAACACAGCATGCTGTGAGCTTGTAAACCCAGCACAGCAACAGAATTAAAAAGGTATAAACATTTTAGTAAAACAAATCTTGAAGTGTCTTTATTCTAACAATCCAGATTTTGGTGTTTTAAAGTTGTTAGCTTTTACTTGGATTTTGTTAACATAAATGTTATTGGTATTGCCAGGTATATGCAAATTATAGACGTTGATGCAAATTATAAGTGAAGCAAAAAATTTCTGTAAAATATTTGCATTTTTTAAATATCACATTTGAGATATTTCCCACATATACTGTGCATAACATGGTGAATAAATAACAATTCAAAGTATTTTTTCAAATTTACAGTAAGTACATAAATTTACATATGCAAATTTACAGTAAGTAAATAAGCCAGTAAGTAAGTGCACAGCAGAAGTGTATAGTACAGAAAATCACAGTGAAAATAATGCAACTTGTAGCCAGTAATTTACTGTAAGTTGGCAGTGATTTTTTTTACAGTGCAGGCAAAGTCTCCTCATATAGAAGCAGCAGGTGTTCAGTGATGAGGGTGAATACAGTGTAGCTGAACAGCTGTAACAGTGTTGGTAATAACACAAAAAAGAGATACAGTTACACCTACAGTAGAAAATCAGTAATGTATTTAGTATTATTATACTTATCTTATAAGTATAATAAGTTATCTTGAATGTGACTAATATGTAATATGGCCCACTGTTACTGTAATATCTAATCCAGAACCCAGCTGCAGTTACAGTAACAGAACAGATCACTGTACCTTTCCTCTCCAGACTGGATCTGCTGTAACCCACAAACTTCTGTAACCACTCAGTACAGGTGATCTCCAGGTAGGACTTGTGGAATTTGGCTCCACCCCTCCTTTCCCACTTCAGTTTGGTAATAACAGCTTTAGCATTGACTGCAGTCCAGGTTTCAGTGTTCAGATCCAGACTGAGGAAGTCTTCTCCATCATAACCGTGTTGTATGTATCCTCTCTTGGTTCCATCATCATCCAGCTCACAGCCGTACATCACCTGCACTGTGTGAACTCCTGCAGGGACACCAACACATTAAACAAAAAAGTAAAGAAAAGTATAACAGAAATGATGCTGTGTTGATAGCTTTTTAAATCAAATTTTGTCTGGCCAAACTGGTGATGGATGATCTTGCAAAGCTTTTGTACAGTGAATAAAAAACCCATCTCATCAGGAAAAACATTATGCATAAAGTTTAAACAGGCTCTAAAGTTTATTGAAAATTAAATTACAATGTTAGTAATTGAGCTCATTTTAGGGAAAAGAAAATGAAAATCCTGCTGAATATAATCTGTTTAAGAGGTAAAAGAGCAGTTCTAATCGCTTAGCTGGGCTGACTGACCTGATCACTGAAATCAACATTAATGCACTGAGCATGTCAGTCAGACGACCCTCTCCAGTCCAAGTAGGTCAAACTAAAAGTTTTTAAGTGAAGTATTTAATTTTGTTGTGGAAATCTGAAGTGTGCTCAGATCTGTGTGTAGTTCAGGTTTTGTGTTTATAGTGTTTACAGTGTTTACAGTGTTAATGTTTATCATTTCAGAAATGTGTCTCAGCAGCTGAAAAAGTATGTATATTTTTACATACTTACTGTTTGAGTGTTATTGTAGAGCTGGCGTTCAGTGTGTAAAGCTCTCAGTGTGTTTATACTGACCTTCAGTCTGATTGAAGCGCTGCATTAGAATATCCAAACTGACTTTGAAGTTCTTCCGATTCACCTGCAGGGCCAGTGTCTCTGTGTTCCAGTAATCCTCACCCTCATTGTCCTGCATCCAGTCTGTCTTTGGAATCATCTTCCTGATGTTACTATCATAGTACACAATCTGCTCTCCATCCAGCAGACCTACAGCAGTGAACTCTGGGAAGTTTATTCCTGGTGTGACTGCAGTGTAGAAGTACTGCAGAGAGTGGGAGACTGAAAAAGATGAAAAAGATCTACTAAAATAGATGAACAGACACTCTTTGACACAAAGTCACCACCCTTCAAAGCATCACCCCTGTGAACCAAGTGGTCCAACATGGCCATCAAGTGTACAGACACTTAGGTGCTTCACTGTAAACTCACCAATCAGATGTAAGCACTGTAAGCAGGTGAGTTTACCTGTCTTCAACAAAAATGGAGGGCAACAATTCAGGAAGAGGAAGAGGAGAGTGAGGATGAGAGGGGAAGCCCGTGGACGAAGAGAAGTAGAGAAAAGAAAATGCAGAGGTACACCTGGAGGAGGATACGGACAAGAACCAAGTTTATCAGATGAGATTTGAGTAACATTAACTGACCGTGCTGTAAACCATGGGTTAACATTAAGAGAGGCTGAACAGAGAGTTCAGCCCAACCTCAGCAGACGTACTGTTTCACCAGGAATCCAGACATTTCAACCAGAGCACAGGTGAAAAACTACTTTTCTCTACTGTCTACAGTTGAATCAGTACAATGTACACATACATCAGTCCTTTTTGGTACCCATTCACTGCAGTCCATGGTTGAAACATGGTCTTGTACATGGTAAAAAAGAGTTTTTCAATGGTTCTTTAGTGAAGGCAATGGTGATATAGAGAACTATGGCAGCTCAAACCATTTCACAGTACAAAGAACCCTTTAAGCATGCAAATGGTTCTTTGAGCTGCCATGGTTCTCTATGTGGTTGTCATCAAGCTGTTACTCAGTGCTTTTCTTAACGTAGTTATGTTATAACTGAAGTTTGAGGGGAGGAGCATCCTCACCTTCTGTTCCTGTGACGACGTGTTTGCAATCCCCAGCGCCACCCCATCTCCTCCCCATTCCTCTGTCCTGCATCAGGCCTACTACAGCTATGAGGGGGGTTCTGGCCTTCTAGCTACAGGCAGAAGCCACCCAGAACTCCAGCTCAAGTTCTCAGACTTCACCCCCCTCCCTCAATCAGTCTTCCCTCATACTACCACCACCATGTTGAAGGCATGGTCTGAACTCACAAAAAAAAAAGACTCTGCTGCAAAGAGAAACAATTTCCTGAATGAGACACACAGAAACAGACTGAGAACTGGCCTAAGCAGCCAAACCAGCCAGTCTCTAAAACAAGACCTTTATAAGGAGAGATTCAAACAGTTTATTAGTTCCTGTTTTCTAAAGTTGAGTTTACAAACAATGCAATCCACTTAAAGAGTATATCACCAAAAGGGGACTTCTAAATAAGAATAAATATCAAAGGACAATGCAATTACAGATAAATCAGACATCAGTGACACTGACGTGGTGGTGGTGGTGTGTTAGTGTGTGTTGTGCTGGTGCGAGTGGATCAGACACAGCAGTGCTGCTGGAGTTTTTAAACACTGTGTCCACTCACTGTCCACTCTATTAGACACTCCTACCTTGTTGGTCCACTTTGTAGATGTAAAGTCAGAGACGATAGCTCATCTGCTGCTGCGCAGTCTGTGTTGGTCATTCTCTAGTCCTCCATCAGTGGTCACAGGACACTGCCCACAGGACGCTGTTGGCTGGATATTTTGGTTGGTGGACTATTCTCAGTCCAGCAGTGACAATGAGGTGTTTAAAAACTCCAGCAGCACTGCTGTGTCTGATCCACTCAGACCAGCACAACACACACTAACACACCACCACCACGTCAGTGTTACTGCAGTGCTGAGAATGATCCACCACCCAAATAGTACCTGCTCTGTAGTGGTCCTGTGGGGGTCCTGACCATTGAAGAACAGGGTAACAAAGTATGCAGAGAAACAGATGGACTACAGTCTGTAACTGTAGAACTACAAAGTGAAACTATATGGTCAGTGGAGCTGATAAAGTGGACAATGAGTGTAAAAACAAGGAAGTGTTCCTAATAAAGTGCTTGGTGAGTGTAAGTATGTAAACAGTTATTTCCACCTTCTTTATCTTGTCTTGACAACAGTCTTTAAAACTGGTTACTGTCACACCTTATAAAGCTTACAGCTGAACTTCCAAAGCTTGCTCGATAATATAAAGCATACTTTAACATCTGGACACGAGCTTTTAATGTGCAAAAAGATTTTCAGTAATAAACATCTCACTTGTCCATACATAATACAGCACATCCTATCTGAGAATGGACAATCTTTACAGCACGGACATGTCAAACACAGACACTACTAGGTCTACCCTAAAGACTCAGTCTTTAAAACTTAAGTCAAGTTTAAAGTGCTGTGCAATTACGCCGCTCCAGTAAAGCTCGCCCCAGTGCCCTCCCCACTCAGACAGCTCTTTAAAGAAGTTAACCAGAATATGAGTATCTGTAGACTGACTCTGATAGACAGAAACAGACTCACCTGCTGATGTCAGATGAATATAAAGTGTGAGAATAAACAGACTTTTCTTCATCACTGTGCAGTAATCCATTATCAGCACTGCAGACTTTAATCTTTGCAGAATTACTTGGTCTGGTATCAGTTCCTCCTTACAAATCAAAACTCTGTAGTCACTCAGGAAGTTAGTAGGGTTGCCAGATATCTTCAACAACTACTTTTAGATAATTATTGATCCAAACACAAGACATAAGCTTAAATTAAAAAATACAACATATAAATACAAGTGATTTCCCATTATTAAGTTAACTGAACAGTTTTAGCTGAAACATTTAAACAGTTTGTCTGTAGTAGTATTTTTTAGTCAGTCCATTTTCAATGTATATGTGAGTTTTTTCACTATACTTTACCTTTAAGCATAAGAGAAACACAAATAAACAAAAATATAATTTGTCAAACTATGTACAGAAAAAACACACACGCTCAGGGTTTAACCTGCTGTTCAGGATCAGTAGTGATCAAATGAACTACGCCGGTTGAACACAGAACTGAAAGTAGAGCAGTGCTATAACTGTTCCACCTCACAAGAGCTCAGAGCACATTTAACCACAGTGAAGCCTGCCTGCTATGAAAAAGCACAAGTCTCTGAATTCCTGTGTTAGAGCTTGTATGAGTTGAGTTGGCGCTGTGTAATTTATCTCATTTCCTCTGAGCACTGCTGTTGTTGTTGTTTTCAGGTGGAACTTAGGATGGAAACAGAACATTGTCAGGACAAATCCAAAGGAAATGAATTATTTAAGCAAATCCATTAGAGTTACTATATCACTTAGCTTTTTACAGATTCATGACTTACAATCACATGGTTTTGTCATTACCTCCACTATGTTGAGTACTGTTAACAATAACAATAACAGTGGTTCATCAGCACTAGCACTGGTTAGTGTTAACAGATTAGAGCTAACAAACTATTTGCATACCCACTCTCTTAAACTGAAGCTACTAGATCTACTTTATGCTAAAGGGGAGTAACATTCAGGCCGTACACATGACTCCCACCCAACCATGGATTACCATACCGTGCTCTGTGGAACTGTGCTCACTGTCCATCTGCACTTGTAGAGCAAGCCTAGATGAAGTGTGTTTGCATATCAAAGACTTGCCAGCACACAGATGCCATGTCCCTGAGACTTGACCAGCAAAACATCTACAGCGCAGTGTAATGAAACACCGTCTAGCATACCTGTGCCAACTAAAGAGGAATACATGGCATTCTTTCAGCAGCTACATAAGTGTGAATATCTTAAAGTAAACCCAGGATAGAGGGTCAGTGATAGAGTGATAGACCAAAGGCCTTGCAGGTGGACTGACCCCCACTATTTACAGATCTGTTTTCAAGTTCTATGTTAGAGATCAAGGTGGTATATGGTAGAGATCAAGAGAACCTTTCATGATCTTCATCTATGAAAGAAGCAGGTATGTAATGAGAAATGTTGACATGTTTTTAGAAATATGAGAACAAGAATTTAAAATATGTTTAAACTGCTTATGGTCATGTTTCAGTGTATTTAAGAGTTGTTTTTCATATATAGGAAATTGTATCATTATATTGTATTATGAGCTTGGAAGTTCATTTTCTCCAATATTGTCAAAAGTAAAAAATATTTAAAAGCATATCATCACTGTCCAAAAAAATCTCATTTTTTTCTGATTTAAATCTTTCTGTATCATTTGCGCACACATTTCATGATGAATGGACCAACAGAAATGCTCCAAAATTGCTTGGAATAAAATCTTTTACAATGACTTTCATTAAAAATTACCAATGTTTTTGCATTCGCCTTTAAAGTTACAATTTTGGAGATAACGTTACAATTTTGGACAGTGCCAATTTTCTTTCGGTGCTTGTCAGCAGAAAAGCTAACAAGAGAGCAGTGGGCAAGTGGGGTGTGGTATGAGCAAAGAGTGGGCAGACTGACAATGTCAGATTTTAATGAGGCACAACAGACAATGCAGTTTCCTAAATTAAAAGGATAAGTTACCCTCAGACCTGTCAAGTGTCCACCAAGCTGTCAGGTAACAGAGTAGGTTGTAGTACCGTCAGCACAACACACCAATAGAAATATATACTAAAAGACACAACATGCAGTTTCAACACTGGTAGATTTTTGTTGGCTGTTCACTTATTGTTCTCTATCCCACCAGGAAAGAGGCTTCATACCTGTGTTACTTTTAAAGACAGCTTATATTTCTTGAATTGCCCCAGTTACAAGCTCTAGCCAATTTAATTTAAGCTTATCATTACATAGTCTGTCTTTGTTATGAACAATTTTCAATGTCAGGACAGAAACACACTTTACAGTGATGTCATTTATATTAAAAATATTAGACAAGCATTCCAATAATGTCTTGTGTTTAAATGTCTTTTAGGTGGGGAAAAGTGAATGAACCAACATTAAGGAGACAGCGCGCAGGAATTGTTCGGCATTGCTCAATTTGTGCAGCAAATTCAATGTGATAGACTTCTTTCATATAAAATACAGTAGGGTGGAACAGTTTATTAAAGCTGACCTTCTTGGCAAGTATTTTACAGTTCACTGCAGAGCATTTTTTGACACTTGCCATATTTCAATATCAGTTTTAAGGTTCGTGAGCAAATGTACGAATGCACATCTTTATTATTTAGTTCACTGAAATTCACTGAATAGTACATGATATCCTAAAGTGTATATGCTCATATACAGAATATACAGAATAACATAACATTTGAAATTTTACAGTCATTTGGATTTTGTATATATAAGAAACCTGAATTAGTTATTATACTGTTTCACTGATAATGACAAAAATCATTTTTTTGTACAAAGAAGTCTTATTATAATAAGATGATTTCATTCCTCATTATTCTGGGGGCACAGCAGGTGGACTGAGATTACAAGTGGAGAAACATCATCTGGATTTGAATAACACAGGGAAATGATTGTGGTGGACTGTACAATCCTGTCCTTGTTCTTTACAAGACCTATGACCCTCTCAATGTAGATATGCATGGCTGGAGGTTGCCTTGATGATTCTATTTCAAAAGGATGATGCTGCTATTTCCCTTTTGTAAATGCTGGAGTTTTAAGGTGTGCACTAAATAACCCCACAGAGTCCGCGCAAATCCAACTGAGATGTAAAGAACTATATAAAAAAATTAAAAATAATAAAATTAGAATCTTAAAGACTGGCCAGACTGTTTTCAGCAGGACTTCAAAAGTGAATGTTTTGTTCTGATGATCACAGTGTGTCCTGCTGTGGACTGATGTTTGTTTTGTTGTAATTTAAACAGTTCAAACATTCAAATACATATTAAAATACATATTAACTACTGTGCAATGTGGACAGTAACGGAATACCTGTAACATTATTACACAATCAGGATACAAAAAGGTGGTTTAACCCCTGAAATTTTCTACAGATGTACACTTGGATGTAACAATTACAGTTTGTCTGCTGCTTACATGAGTAAGTTTATACATTAGCTGACAGTAACCAGACCAAAACACTACCAGCCCGATTTTTCCCATTACCCACTTCAGTACTGCTTCTGAGCCAGAGCCGGCTTTTCAACAAATAGAACACAAATGATGGCCAGTGGGAGTTTCTAGAAGAGCCTCTGTTTATAATTACTGATGAGGAGGGGCCTCAGAAGAGCAACTGATTTTTAACTAATGAGGTAAAATCCCAGGAGAGCAGCACATTTTTCTACCTGTATTGCGTTTTCATAGTTGTTGAGGTCAAAGAACCGGATAGTTCTTCAGTTTTAGCCAGTGCACCAAATTTTTGAGTTTCCTCATGAAATAACTCCAGTTTTCTGCTGGGAAGCTGTGCTGTGATTTCTGAACTTGTCACCTTTTTCGCTGCTAATGAGGACACATCTCACTTTGCTAAATGTGACATCAGTGGTGGTTTGTATGAGGCTCAGTATCAGCTGTTATGTCCTCACTTTCTCTGTAGTTCTACATCACGCAATATTTGGATACCTGATTTTTTAATGGATGTACACACAGCAGACATACAGCACAGCTAAGTAGCTATAATCATCATTTAGTCTAAAAAATTCTTGTTAATTATGTAACTTTGAAAACAGAAGAAATCCAAAAGTGAAGTCATTATCTTAAATTACTTTAATCTAGTAATCCTTTGGATTAGGTTACAAAGGCATGCTTTAACATGTAATCTGTACCAGCATGGATTTTTAAAGTAACTCTCCCAACCCCGGTGAGAAGTGTGATATGAGAGTATCAAAAGCTGATTTTCCAGAGTCAGCAGTGAGAAAGAGGCCATTAGTGACCCTAAATAGGGCGTTGTAGGTTGAGAGAAGGTGAGATTGTAACTGAAAAGGCAAAAAAAAAAATCCTAACAAATTAGCTTTAGATGGAAATTAGAAATAGGGTCATTAGAGGGTAAAAAACAGACAGACCTGAATTTAATGATCAGATCTGGCTCTGATGCTGGTAGGTGTTTATTTATTTATTTATTTATTTATTTATTTTTTGGTCCTTCTTTCACAGGTGTACCTGCTCTGCAAACATGTGAGCAGGACGTCTGACCAATCAGAGACCTGGCTGGTGTAGTTGGGGGGAGCAGCCTAAGCCTTAAAAAGAGGCCTTCAAGTTGGCTGATGAAGATGAGGCCTGATCACATGTGTGCTGTGTTTGAGTTTGGTTTTAATCTCTGGGAGTTTGTGTTTGTTTTAGGTGTTTTACTGGTGTTTCTGTTAACTTTACAAGTTTTACAGGAGTTTGTCTCTTGTGATGGGGATGTGCTTTAGTTTTGGTATTTTACCTGCACACTTTCGTTTTACAGAAGTGTTTGCTTACTTGTATGGGGTTTCAAACAGGTAAGAGGGGTGCCTATACATTCACACCATGTGGAAGTCAACTCTGTCTAGTTCCCCAGGTCAGAGGGCACCGTCACAGGTACTTTTGATTGCTAGTCAGGGAAATGTAGAGCGGTTAGCTTTTGTTTCCTTTTTTAGGTTCTTTAGGTACTTTTTGTTTCAGTGTAGACAGACAGGTTAGGTTTTTTTGGTCTTTTCTTTGGTGCTGTCCACAGTTTGGTTCTGCCAGTGTGGTGCTAGATATCATA